AATTAAATCGGTCTCACACTCAAAATTAGTTGATAGTAACATCGAAGATGTTGTCATCAATAAGAGCTGGATAATTGCATTATATACCCTTCATACGTAGCATAAAAATGATATACTAAGTTTGTTAAGAAGATTGTAACACAGCAGGAACGACTCTCAGTTTAAAAAAAAAAATAAAAACATCGAAAGCATAAAAGTGATTTCTTGATTAAGGTGGGTTCATTATTAACATTACCTGAGATATAGGATGGCAAAAAAGTGTAAATGAAAAAATATTCAATCATATTCAAAGTTTCTACGATAACTATCATTATCATGAATGTCGCAGAGAAAAAGGAAAGAGGTCTCTATTGGAAAAGGCAACCAAACTATTGCATTCTAAAATGATTTTAGGGACTTACAACCTAAAACGCTTCAATGATTGCATAGAAAAAACAATGAATAACCTAAGAATTATTACGGGATTACTAACCGGTCACTGTAGATTAATAAATCACATAACAAAGTTAGGAATTCCAACTCAGACTACACATGCAGTAAAGAAGAAAGAGAAACTGCATACCATGTGTTAGGGGATTGCCCGGCACTGATATACAAGCGGAAGAAACATCTAGGAGGGTATTTCATGGAACACAGGGATTCACGATTAGGAAATATAGGCTCTATACTGTCTTTCATTATAGAAATCGGACTTGGAGAATCACTCTAATCTGATTAATGGGCACAATAGATATTTTGGGTCGCAGTGTACTATCCCGGGGTGCTGTAACTGTTGCTTCCAATGCATACATTACAACAGCACTCAATATTTCATGGTGAATGCTTTGCTTCTTCCAATGCATACGTTCTCCCATCCTACTTATCTTCTTGACAGTCTTCTTTATATTTAACTGTCAAATCTTAAGTGTATCTAGGGCGTGATCTTAATAATATATTATACATATAATACAACCTATTATATAGGTTGTATTATATTTATATATTTATAAAACCTATCTAAAAGTAATCTACTCCATATACTTTTCCATATCAATAATAATCTATTTTAAACTGTAACGTAATTAAAAAAGGCTAATTTGCCAGAAGAATTGAAAAACTTGAAATACTTTGAACTTAAGTTATTAGTAAAGTTGATTAAGTAATTGTAGTAAATATTGTTAATTGAGAAAAATATTTATATAAATTATTACATCTAGACTAAGTTCAACTCAAGTATTAAAAGAAATACTAATATACACGCTAACCTTGACTTCTGCAAAGTTCGCACAAGTTTATTGATACAACTTCTATTTTTGAGTGTAGGTCGAAACTCTTAAATTAAAAATTGCAATATTATTTTTATATACTTAATAAAATATATAAAAAAATTAATGAAGCTTAACTTTAATCACTGTAAAGAGTTAAATATATCTTTCATAAAAAATTTCAATTTATCACAAATATTTTTAACGGTACACTTATAATAGCAAAACATGGAAAAACTTTAATAAGTCTTCCCGGTGATTTTAAACCCCTGCGTTTTATATAGTAGCATAATAAATTAATGCGCCTATGTAGATCCTTAGTATCGTCGGTACAAGCTAAGACTTAGATCTATTAGTTCATTATGCTCCTGTATAGCACACAGGGGTTAAAAAACCACCTTGAACCTTTAGCAAAACTTAAAATGCTGTTAAAAGGGAGGCATTGACGCTCTCTAAAAATTTCTCTAGAAAGAAAGTTCCTTACATGATTAATCGTCGTTGCAAATGTGCTGGATAGCTACAAAATAGTTACGAATGAGAAATATGGCCTTGAAGAAATGCCTTTAGCTTTCGCTATCGAAGAAGTAGTATCCTCCTACTCTCCCATGACACCGCCATTGTTTCAATTTCTTCTGGAACTATGAATTCCATAATACAAAATACCAAACTAAATACAACATCATACAACAGCGAATATCACTTTATTATCCGTAAAATGTTTGGATTTAAATGATCTTTTTTTCACCTAAGTTACGCTATGCATGGGTCATGCCCAATATTTTGAACTCGTAGCCTTCGTTTCGAGTTATTTGTGTATGCTCGTGTGTAGCTGACTTGGACAATTTTTTAAAATACAATAGAAAAACAATAAAAAAAATAATAAGAAATAATATTAAAATAAATATTAAAATATATTATATAATATTTTATTCACATAATATTAGTTGTTATATATAGTATTTTATATTAAAAAAAAAATAAGAACAAACAGAACAGTTTTGAAAAAAATTTGAAACATATAATTTTACTACGATAAAGGGTAGAATGGTGTATATCGTTCGATATATGAAATGGAAAGTTCATGAATTCGTAAATGAAACAGGTCGGAATCGAAGCAGTAATGATATCTCTAAGAAACTGGAGAATACAACAATGCTATTTCAACCATTTGAATTTATACAGTAACAAAAAACTTAATGTTTAGTTACCTTATAACCCGAAAAAATTTTATATGGTACGAAAAAGGTTTCATGAAAAAAAATATAAAGCTCAACAAAAGGTGGTTAAAAAAAGATTGAATGTGATGGCTGTGTTGATTATTAAAGGCGATACTAATGCAATTGCTAGGCTAACACATTAGGAGTTAATACCACCTAACCAGACAAGTAGTTTAATCTTTACTGGAATCAATTAAAACACTCAAAAACAGAAATAAAAAAAAGAGACTGCAATTTATTAAGAAGAAAGATATTGTATATCATTATGATAACGATAGGCCATGCACATTTTTCGTGACTTAGAAAGACTTTAAAGAGCTTGACTGAAAAGTTTTAATGCACCCAAAATATCATCAGTTTCGATCTATACTAGCATAAGCTTTCCATCAGTGTTTCGTAGATAAAATAGTGAAACTCCACAACAAAAGATCGGTGTTATTTAAAAAAGGAAAGAAAATAGTAGAACAGACATAAAGAAAAGAATATTTTCAGTTATAATTAAAAACATCGAATACTATTACCTCAACCTAATAAAATGATACTATACTATGGTATACTATGATACAATGGTAAGTAACAATACTTAATATTATTACTTAATTGAACAAAGATCCTTAAGAGGTCATTGATATAGAATTATTCGTATAGAATTATTGGTATTTGCAACTGTATGACTTTTGCATATTCAAAATACTTTATTATAATTGCTCTCCGTTGGTTTTTTTAGTAGTGTAGCATCAATGTGAAAACCAATACTTAAAGTAAAAAATCTTGAATGGGGCTTCAAAACCGTGTTCAACCAAATATTTCAGTGAGAGAGACTGGCCATTGCAACTACCCCGTCATATAAACTGCATGTCAGCTAACAATCGCCACAATCATCTCTATTTTCAGCAGATGCAAATCTATTTGAGTTTTTACTATGAATTATTATATAGCCAAATGTTGCCTCAAAAAATTACCAAAACATCAAGAAAATCAATATTCGTAAATTGAAAAAGCGTCTACAGATTCAGATTTGTACAACTTACAACTAGAGTTTAAAAAATAAAAGTTTAAAAATAATTTTAATAAATTATTTTATACTCGATATTTTTTTTTGCTACTTTAATAAAATTTATAAAAATTCAAATTAAAATAGTATTCTGTGAAGCTACAGTTCAACTGAGTCAGCTAGTAAGCTAGTGACTACGAGTGACTCTATGTTAATAGTCATATTTAACTATATTAACAGAAACATAATTAATTACATTTATTTATTTTATTAAAAAATTAAATCTTTACGATTCCGATTACCCGGGCAAACCTATTTGATAACGGATTTTTTTAAAGACTGCGATTATAACCATACGATATATGTCAATATAGTTTAGTTTTCGAGATATCAAGTTTTAGGTTTAGAAATTTCTACATTTAAATCAACAATAACATTTAGCTCGTCTATTGTAGTAGTACCTATTGACCCATAGTGCCCCTGGCTATGCCTATTAACCAAATAAATGGATTTATAATGGATTAAAATACAAAATTTAATTCAAGGTTAGATGTACTCGTACATGTAATTAAATAAAAAATGCTAAATTATGCTAATTTAAATTAATGTGCGAAAAGTATTTCAGTAGCATAAAATAATTAAGCCAAGTTCATTTAATGCAAAATTAAAACTGTAAGACGGGCTTAAAAATGTCTACAAAAAAGTGTTGCAAAACTCATTAATAATAAAATTCACTTTAGCGTAGGTCATGGTAGAGATTTAATTATTTTCACACAGGTAATAATGGCGATCGTGATGGAAGAGACGGATGGATGACGACAAGAGTTTTTTTCGTTGTTATTTTTACTTTCAAAGGAAAATTACGTTTCGCTACTTGTTCCAGTGCAAAAGCAAAATTTGCAGAAAATCTTTTGAAAGTAGCACCAAATTATGGACTTTAAGCTGTAGCAAGTTTACGCTTGTTAACTTTCTAAGATTTAATTATGGCCTAAACGGCAAATTAAAAGTAAAAATAAAAAATAAAACATAAAACATAAGAAAATCAAAGTGATTCACTTCGCTTGTATTTGTATCTTTGGTCAATGTTTAATTCCAAGAAAAAAAAACAAGAAAAACTATTCACGATCATGAAAAAGGATGCGAAAACGTGGCAGGCCCGGCCTGTGCAGTCAGTTTATATGAATTTTATTACATTGCAAAACCCATTAAAGTTACGAAAACCCAAACAACTTGAAACGAAACAACTCGTTTTAGTTGTCATGCGACGAGGAGGAGAGGGTGGCAAATGTGGGACAATGCGCTAAGATAAAAGATGCAAACAACTTCGAAACAAATGTTTCTTTTATGTGAACGCCACTGTTTCGATGTTTCACAGTTTCACAATTTCGGCGAAAATCGGTCAAACGCACACATTGAAACACATGCAATATCCACAATAACAACAAAAACAACAATAACATTGTGTTTAATCGTATGGTTTAAATTGATAAAAACAACAACAACAGCACGACATCAACAATGAGACATGTTAAATATTTTTATTACCAAACTTTTTGCTGCCTGAATTCAAAGTTGTTGCTTTTTTCTCTTCGGCGTATATGAAAGAATGATCCGTTACGACTCGCTTTTTATATGACTGGGTCACCAAAAAAAAAAAAAAACCCACTTTTCACTTTTTTCACCTTCGACCTTGAACCAATTTTTTTTACAACTTAATAAAATCGGTAAAAGAATTTTTTTTTTAATTCTTAAGAAAAAAAAAACTACATCTAATCTATGTGCACTTTTGTTTAAATTGCAATTTCAAATTCCAAATTTACGCGAAACTTAAGCGGATTACTTCGACGTCTTCTACGTGAAATTTTTTTAACCATTCTCCAACGCGCGCCTCAAAGTAACTAATTTCAAAAATAGTAAAAGCCAAGTTTAAACAGAAAATCGCCGGACACGCAAAACTAATTCGCGCTAAGAGAGAATTTTGTTTGTTTATGTTATTATGCACGCTCACTCGTTACCTTCAACTCGTTACCTCTTCAATATACGAAGAGCGCAAGTTTATTTACTTAAAGAGCACGCAGTACGTGCAGTGCTTTAAAGACAAGCTTACTATAATGCAACAGCAATAGCTTTATTAACACCCAGTGAACAATTAGGTTTTTGAGTTTATAGGCCACTGCAACGAGTAACGAGTAAGAATTACTATTAGTTATAATAACTATACGATGATTATGATATCGAAATTAAAATAAACAATATGTCGAAACTGATAAAGATGACAAAATGCTAAGGAAAATAATGATATGGTTTCTTAAACAAGTGAGGGAACCATCGTATCGGAACTGATATACAAATATATCGAAAATGTGCCAAATGATAGCACGATAAGAAAAATAATCATATCTAAACAGATCATGGAACCCAAAGTAACAGTTAGGATGTAAAATTGAAGCATGGCATAAACAAAGATACAAGAAAAATAGTTGCTTCCAATTAAAGACTGTGAGCCCCTTGAACTAGTCACATAACTAAAAGGGTAGACTAATGACAAAGAAAAAAATGAGAGTTAAATTGGTAGCAAAACCTAATGGTGTGACGCAGAAAATGGATGGATAAATCAAAAAACGTACAAGAAAAATACACGCCTCTGACTCTTGACTCTGAACCTTTTGGACCAATCATGTAACTAAAAGAATTGGAATTGACTGATGGCAAAGAAAAGCGATGGAAAAACCTGATTGCGGCAGATAGAAAATTAAATGGAGAGACTAAAAAAGTTACAAGCAAAATATCAAAGATATAATATATAGATAACTCTAGACTGTGAACCCTTCGAACCGATCACATAATTTAAAGAGTAGACTGATGACTAACCTAAACATGCCACATAACTGGATAATATGACAGATGATAAACAAAACAATGAAGGAGAAACTGTTTGTATGATGTTAACAAAGATACAACAAAAACAGACGACTTTAAGCCTGAGGTGTGCCAAACAAGGCCCAGTCACGTACCAAGAATACACTAGGAATGACAAAGAAAGGAATTAAAAGTAAATCATAGGTTAGTCTAAGCACTGCAGATAGAATATCTTGTAGATAGATGATATCAACGAAGATACTAAATAAAATAGATGAGTACGAGTACTTGAAATTTTTAAGACTGCATCTGGGCAATTACAGCAATGTACCGACCAAGTAATTAAAGCAGATGACAAATGACAAGATTAATCATGAGAGCTTGACTAATAGGAAAATCTAATCGCGGTATGCAGATTATGGCGACTATGGAAATATAAAAAAAAATAAATGCTACTAACTTGTAAGACATATCTAAAGAAAAACTATAATAAAATCAAGGCAAATACTACAGTCCTTTTGTTATCGTCAATTTTATATAAAGAAGTAAAGAAGTACAGCAGAGATTTGATTTAATGATAATACGGTAGTGAAATGTCATAAATAGGGATACATAAAATATTACTAGCTCTCGTATCTGAGTTATTGGTTATTGGCAATTTCTGAAAAACTACCAATATGGTAAGGAAGAGCGTAATTGTTTTGCTATGTTGATGAATCAATTATTATTTTGATTTTGATTTATTTAAATTTTATATTTATCTACAGTTATATCTATTTACAGTTCTATTTCATATGAGTTCGCAAATAGTTGACATTCATTTTTTCGATATTTAGTACAAATCATTCATTGAACAAGTTAAAATTACGCTAGCGCACAATAAACTAAGCTGGTCGTAGTGCATAAAGGCCTTAGCCTAACCTATAAACTATTACCATAGGATTACGCTAAAAGGTTCAGGCCCCAGGAAATATTCAAATTTCTTTATATTTTCTGGTATGCTGCAAAGTTAAGAGATAAATTTCACTTTATTATTGAAAGAGTTTATCTAGTTGCAGTTTGATTACATCATAATGCCAGAATATTTAAATACTATTCTAAGATAGTTTAATTTCAAAGACATACAGTTTTGTCGAAAAGAATGTTGGGAAACTTTCTTTGGAAATTACTAGATATAACATATTAACAGAAAAATAGCTTTATCCAGTGTATAGTTTTAATTAATCTTTGAGTTAAACATAATTTTTGGAACAGAAAAAAGCCTACAATAATATATATGGCACTGATACATGTCTTTTATTTTTTATTTCTTCGGTTATCCTTGATTATCTTTATTATCCGAAAACACAAATAATATTGTTTTCCTTTTTTTTATATAAATCTTTAATTGGACAGAGAACGATTGAATTTGTAAAGAAAACAAAATCGTAGGGAGATCCTGCTTGTTGATGAAACGTTGGTGAACGTTGGCTTCACTACTTCCTTCCTGCCGGTACATAAGGAAGTTATGTGATTTTAAAATGGCATCTTTATCACTAAGATATATAATTTATATAAAATCTTGAATTTATATAAAATAGTTTTTAGGGAACTAAATCAAAAAAGGGTATTCAGAGATGTTTCCAGTTCCTACTATTTTATATAATAAAGTAGCTTTGCATTTTAAACTAACTAATTAGTGTAATATCAATTGTCAATATGGTTATGCACCATATGTATTATATATGTATTATAATTTTTAATAAGTGTAATAATGTTATCTACAATTTTTCAACCTCCTTTCAATTAAGTCAACAATTATCATATTCTGTCACGAACGTCAGCTCAACAGAATTTAAAAAAATGTATACTGGGCTATTAAGCGTTCGTGTACTCACGCTAACAGAATTTGTTAACAGAAAATGTTTAGACATTGAACAGTGTGCATTGATGCTATTTATTCACCTGTTGTCGATTGCAGTGCAACTCGTTAAAAAGCGATTGCAAAAGAGCACAATCACAGCACTTACACCACTCAAATAAATGATTCAGTCATTGCGTTTGGCAACAAATTGCTGTTGTAGACAGACCAGATTATCAGTTCTGACTAAGTGAAAATGTTGCACGATATAACATTACAACTCATGTGTATTGGTGTTGTTGCTTCATTAAATTGTGTATTGTCGCGTTTCTGGTATTAAGAATGTAAACAAACGTAGAAAATTAATGAAATATTGTATACAATAATGAAATCAAAGCTTAAATCACCGAAAACTACGTGCTTACAGCCATTGACTTTCTTTTCAAACGATCGCTATTGTTGTCTTGTTTACTGCTGAAGGTGGTCGATCAAGATTTTAATGAAGACACGAATAAAGAATGATTTTATTACACATATAATAAAGACAATATTGAAAAACATAAAAAGAATTGCTAATTCTACTGGTAACCCATTTGGTTAGTACATAAAATCATATAAGTTAGCAACATAGACAAGTGAAAGGAAGTCAAATTTCTCTAACTTACTTTCATAACAAATATGGAGTAGACACTGGTAGCTAATATATTGTGAGAAATTCACATGTTTACAAGGATTACATGTTTATAATTAATAGTTTTAATATCTGTATACACAGAAAAAAAACAATATCTGGCATAGAAATAAAAAAAGTAATGTAGATTATTGAAATCCATTAAGAACCTCGGTTTGACACTTACTAACAATTTTAAAGAGATTTTATAAAAAGCCATATAAATAGATTTTGGGGCAAGGGTGAGAAAAGCCCTCAGAAAACTCACTAATAACTTTGTTTGGAAGTTTAATTTAAAACATGTGACTAAAAACAAAAACTTTGATTTCATTTAATGACAGTCACTCTGAATCGATAATGAATGACTGTCTGAATTTGGTATCCCAGCAAAACTTATTAGGCTATGTAAAATGACGTCAAGCAACATCACCACCTCCGTTAGAATCGGGAAGAACTTCTCTTCCGAACCGTTTGATACCAAACGAGGTTTCAGAGAGGATAGCTTATTGTATGACTACTTTAACTTAATGTTGGAAACGATAACACGAGCAGCAGATTTAAACTGCATGGGCACAATATCTTACAAAAGTATGATGCCGCTTGCGTTTGATATTAATATCGTTGGCATGAATACCCGCACCGACAGTGAAGTATATTCTAACTTAGAAAAGCAAGCCAAACAAATTTGGTCTTTTGATAAATTTCCTGAGCGTCTTGGATTCCACTTCCCTGTTGACAATTATAAGTTCGAAGTTATGAAAGATTGATTATTTAGGAACCAGGTTACACACCAAAAATGATGTCAGTCTAAATATTATCTTCCCAAAAACCGTTTCTTCGAGATAAGTAGACAATTGTGAAAAATATCATTTTTTTGTTGGATATTTTGCCAGCTATACTAATGAAAGATAGAATCAATAAGCAAACATATACATAATAAACATCTTTAATCTTAATTAGTAGATTACACTTTTAATAAAGTTACAGCTCTTTGTAAGTCTTATACCCTATTGACACTGCAAAGGTTAATCATGAATCCAGAATTTATATTAACAATATTTTTAAAATAATTGTTATCTGAAATCAACGCCTTGGGCAAAATATGTAAATAATTTATTATAGAAACTAAATGGTATTGAAAACCAGGGCGCATGAGAAATTTTAGAAATAATGCCTAATTACGAACAAGTGCACAAAAGTAGAAAATCGAAAACGTACTTTGGCTTTAAAACAAGATATTTAATGGACAAGACCAAGAGCTATATTCACAGATCATCTGAGGAGATGAGTTGTAAAAAAATCTTAGTTTACTCCTTTTTTCTACCAGATAATATGGTTAATAATCGACCGGCGTTAGATTATTACATTCACAGTTTCTAGGTTGTCTTAAGCATAATCTACCATAATCTTCGGCAAACCTCTCTTTTTCTGTATTTTGTCTTCTCTCGGCATTCAATATACTTTTAACACACATTCTTGCTTAATAAATATTGGTTATGAGTGGTCTAGACCTTGTACTATATATTGAAGAACCAGTATAAGAAGCACATTTGGTAGTTGTACACCTATCTGCGCTTCAATTAATTTCATATTTTTATATAGTTACTTGTGTTATAACCGACGCCAGAATTTGTTTTGGCAATAAAACAATGTTTTTAGAATGTTATATACTACTGACCAGATAAAGATTGAAAAATTTTCGAAAACAGGTATTTGCTTACAATACAATATAATTGATAGACGTATTGGCATATATAGCAACAAAAAATGGAGATTTATAAATATAGATGAAACAATATCCCCCTCAAAAAGAAAATGATTAAAGCTTCTATTAATATCACAATAATGAGTTACTTGGGCTATGTAAATATTGTTAACATACACTGAATACTTTTGGTTATACATAAATTAGAACTGATTAAAATTGCCCTCAAAAAGTGATTTCGGACTTTAAAGTGCAAATCGTAAGGATCATCCAAATTAATAGTGTTGACACTGATTTACAAAAGATAAAAGTATACAATTGACACTGCGAAGTCTCGAGAAACATAAAAACGCATATTTCTGTTAGTAACTGTATCACAATCGATCGAAGAAAAGTGAGTTAATCATGTATAAATAATTATAAATCACAGTGGCTTAAACTGTTCGAGAATTACGTTGCTCGAGTTTTACTAATATCGATTTTAAATATTTAGATCAAACATTTCAAATGTCAGAAAATATTCAACTAGCTCGAAGATGTTTAAGCTGATTAAAAATATTCAAATAAGTACCACATGGTTTTCGGCGATTTAGGTAACATGTTATTTTCGACTAATATAATTATATAAAATTTGAATCATTGAACATATTCGAACATATTCGCTGTACTGGTGTACAAATATACGAACTGCGAATAATATTTAAAACACTATAGTAGATATATTCACCGTTTCTTTTATAAATAATATATGCAAATACTATTAGCTAACATTAAGTAAACATGTTAATTTTTTGCATTTATAATAGTTTATAATATTATATTTATTTATTCAAGCATAAAACTTATATTTTATAAAATAATCTAACATCTTGCTACATTTATGTGGAAGAGTTTATCATTCTGTACATATAATACAAATTGATGTGCTTCACATATATATAGAAGCCAGTATTTTTTATAGAAAATATTTCTTTATTTTAATTAGTAATTAAACATTTATTAAGCAAATAAAATAAATGGTGTTACATTATTACTGATTAAAAATTAACTTCGAATTTTTGCCACATAAACTTAATTTAAATAATCTGAATTTGTTGGCAATAGTAAAAAAAATGCACTGGTTATGTTTTTGAAAGAAGACCAATTTATATTAATATAACCCGTATAAACATGAATTTAATAACTAAAAATAATACTTAAATAAAAATTATTTCATTTTATGTCGAATTTTTCAGCTGCAATTTTTTTAAGCATATTTTTAACTTGATTATGTGCATTTACAATCGATTTAAAGAAATAATTTTCTTAAGAATTAAAAATGAGATTTATATTAACATTTATATTACATTAACCAAATTTAAAATAACTTAAAAATTAACTGAACAAATATTGGCAGAAGATTTTATTACAAATATACTTTAGTCATATTACGTATATTAGATTTGTAATTTATATACATTTATATAAAAATAAATTCCTTGCTTTATATTTTTTAATTTGAGTGGTTAGTTAAAGTAAATTAAAAATTAAAGTTTAAGTTCAGGACTTTGAACCGAAATTAAACCAAAAATAACAAGACTAAAATAAACGATATTTTAGATGGAGCGAAAAGCGGAACTGAACTGAAAAATATTCCTATTTAGTTGTTAAAACTAAATTCATTAATTCATTAAAGAAATTTAAAATTTTTATTTTTTCTATTATTCTTTAAATAAAATATTTGTGTTATAATAAAAGAACTTATTTGTAACACAGAATTTATAAAGACAATTTAATCGAAACTGAACAAAAAATGAATTTTTTCCCGAAACAAAAACCGTAACTAAACTGATAATTTTTTTATTAAATCAAATCGGAGCTAAAAAAAAATTCAGTTTCGAGCCCTGTTTAAAATGTATATTTTATAAAAATTTGAAGTCTAGACTTTTTAGTAGTGTAAAGAAAATAATTATAAACTAAAGAAATACATATAACAGTAGAATTAAAATTTATTTAATATAAAATTTATTTTTATTCTATATACTACCTTTTTAAAAATGGGTGACTTTACATCTCAAAAATTCTATTTTATTTCATTAATTTTAATTAAAAGGCAGTTTATGCTAAATCTAATATCTTATTTTTTTAGAAACTCAATATATATTTTATGCTTCAAATTATATAATAATATAAAAATATTTTCTTTTATTTTGTTTCTGATATAATAAGAAATTATGTTATTAATTTGAGCTTTATATTTGGCAAAAATATATTTGTTAAATATTTTATCTTTAAGTTAAGTTTCTATTAAAAATAATGGTATCAAAATTGCGATTAAAATTTTATATATTTATTTTTTAATTTAAAATGAATGTACAAATATTTTTCTTAAAAAGAATATTTTAAAAAGAAATACATTTATGTTGAAACTAATTTCATTTTAATACATAAAAATTGATGTTTTATCAGACAAATAAAAATATTTATGTGTAATGCTTTATTATAACAAGTACTTGAAATAAAAGATATATTAATTATATAATTTTAAACATTACTTAAATTGCAAAAAAAATCACAAATATTGAAACAAAAATAGAAATAAGTTTAAAAATCACATTTTGTTCAGTATATACTTCAAACCTATGTATATAAATATTGATGCAGATTCTTTGTGTGATTGGACATATGTAATTTAGACTAAAGCAGTTCGCATAAATTATACTAAAATGTAAAATTACCTAAATATTTTGCTTACATATTAATTTTAGTGTAGTATATGTCTGTTGGATTTGTTAAAACTTATGGACACATCAAGTTAAAAAACTCTTTTTTTACTTCCTCCAGGGAACAATCATTATCAATAGCTGGGTAATTCGATTTCTTCAAAATAGCCAAAAGAATATTTTATAAAATTTATAGACCATAAAGTTAATATATAAAACTTACATTTAAAATTGGATTTTGGCCACGAAGTGTTTGCCAATTTTCTAATATTGTTGCATATTTAAGATATTTTTCAAATTCTCTTAATGTTTCATATACATGACAAAGACCTAAGTAATCATATTCTAAACCCGAATATGAATGGCCAAACAGTCGTAAACCTAAAATAAAACAAATTTTAGTAATTTTTTCATTTTAATTTTACAATAACTTACTTATTTCAATGCTGCGTAAATACAAGTCTTCGGCTTCACGATATTTTTTCATTTGATAATTATAAAGCGAAGCGAGATGTCCTATTGAAAGTCCTACTTCATAATCATATTGGCCCAATAAATCCGTTTTAATTTTAATAGCTTTTTGATGCATACTTTCTGCTTCCTAAAATATATATGAAACGAATTTCAATTATAGTATATAATAAATATAATTTATACTTTTCATACCTGATATCGACTCATAGTTTGATAAAGACGTCCTAAATTACCATAGTGCTTTGCTGTTTGCACATTCATTTCTCCAAAAACTTCAAGTGATAATTGAAGCGCAAATTTGTGCAACTCTTCTGATTGTTGTAATAAACCATCTTCATCAATTCCTTCAGCCATTTTATCCAGTGCTATTTCTTCAAGTAATAATGCTTTCACGCGTTTGGCTGACGCTAACATAAGATGATCACTTGGTACCAGATCTTTCATAATATCTACAGCCTTTTCAACATGTTCACGTGAACAGGTGAAATTGCCTGTACTGTACTCATGCACATAATAGGCATAAGAAAGATCTTCATGTGCAATTGCAACGTGAAAGTTCCGACTACCAAAAATGAATCTCTTAATATCTAAAGCTGTTTTATATACTTTAACACTTTGATAAACTGAATCGACGTTTAATAGAAAAAATCCATAATCAAGTAAAGCATCTGCGTATTTTTGATGTTTCGAACCGAAAATTTTTCTAAAATTAACAAATTTGCAAATACATTTCATTTATTACATTATTTTAATAATAGAGCTGATCACTGTAAAACAACTTTTAAGCGTGTATTTGTGTATGAAATTGATATAGAGTTATTGTGTGATCTGTCAAGGAGTCAACTAAGTACTAGACATACTTTTAACTAGATTTTATTCTCTACAGAAAAACAAAGCAAGCTAATTTCTCAAGAAAAAATTATCTAGGCTTACAACAACAAGAAGATATCACATAAAAAACTCACATTGCCAACGATATTTTTTATAATTTATGTTCCATTTTTATTTTTCACATATATTTCACATTAAAACTGAATGTGAACCAGTTTAATGTTGAGTTTACCATGTTATAATCATTTCCCGTGTAAGTTGAAGGAAGAAACACAACGATTATAGGAGCAATTATCAGCAATACAAACGAACACTTACCACTATCTGCAATCTCACAAGTTGATACGTAACATGTACACCAACAACAACAGCAAGGTAGAACTATACAGTCACTCAGGCCAATTACTCTATTTACGTATCCTCAACTACAGGGAGTCTAATGTCGTTTATTCTCTTTTTAATTGTGTTAGACTACGTCCTTACTAAAGCTATTGACCAGTCACAACGGGTTATACGCTGAGGGATTCCAAGCCACCTCAAGGATTTAAAATATGCTGACGACATTTGCCTTCACTCAACACGATAGAACGTTATGCAAGATAAACTCAACGACTTAGTTCCCGAATAGCGGAAAGTTGGTCTTACAGTGAACACGGCAAAGACGAAAGCAATGAAAATAAATAATTCTGAACCTACCGGCAAATTTAACCTGGACGATATAGAAATCGACAACGTAAACACCTTCACATATTTAGGTAGCTGCAGTCGACATCCAAAACCGAATTAACAAGGCATGTTCCGCCTTTTCGTTGCTGAATAAAGTAAGTATGGAGCTCTTCAATACTTTCCCGGCATACCAAGCTGCGGTTATTCAACAGTAACAGTGTTAATGTCAAAAGCGTTCTGCTCTACGGCTGTAAAAGCTGGCTCAATACCAACAACATGGTTCATAAACTTCAAACCTTTATAAACAAATAACTCAGAAGGATTTTGTAAATTTGGTGGCCCGCATTATTAGAAATTTTGAACTCTGGACAACATGCCGCCAACTTCTTATCGCAAATGAAATCAAAAAGCGTAAATGGCAATGGATCGGGCACACATTAAGGAAGTCACCAAACAAAATCTGCAAAAAAGCGTTGACGTGGAATCCTCAAGGAAGCAAAAAACCTGGTAGGCCCAAGCAAACATGGAAACGAACACTAAAGAAAGAAATTCAAGCAAGCGTAAAAAGTTTTGGAGAAATTAAAACCTGGGAACGCAATAAAATGAAGAAGAAGTACTACAGATCTATTCCTTATGCTATTATTGTTCTAACCCGAAAAGCTTTGTAGAGCAGAAAATATGGACTACAGCACGTTGGTTAAATTTTCCACAGCTTCTACTACTAACGTAAGAAGATTGTAGAACTTTGACAGAGGATAGACTCACTCCCTCTGTATACTGCCCAGCCATCCTTTCTTTCTTTAATTATTACTTTGTTTTCTCGTAACAAGCTCTATTTCAAATGAAGTAAAAATGCTTTTATCCTCAAGTCCACTCATCCTCAAGTCTTTAGCGTCCTCATGACTGACAGAACCCCCCAACTGATCACAAAATCAACATATAATGAATTTAAAATTAACATTAGATATATCACTAAATATTGTATTGAAATTATTACTGTTATTATTATTTTCGGCATGAATATCACTTGGAATGTTGTAATGTAAAATGTATAACGTTGATCTGGGAAACAACCTGACATAAACTACAATGTGACAAGCTGATGTGAATGTTTTGTTTACTGAGTTTTTCTGAACACAATAAACCTGTTGTATAAACATATAGTATATTAATAATAAAATAAAATTTTCGTTTTGAAGATGTGTTCAATAAACACAGTTCATTTCACTTAATGCAAAACACCTTCATAATCACAAAGAAAATAATAAATAGTTTTCAATCAACAGGGCTTTGTTATAAAGCAAAAATTCATTATTACTATTTTTTTAAATAAGAGATAAAATAACACTTAAGATACTAAAGTTTACTAATGATTTTTAAGCATGCAAAAACATTTCCGATTATAATTAATATATAAATATCTTAAAACTTATTTTTATGCAAATTAATCTGGAACTTAACATATTTAATTTTTCGTTGAGTAAACAAATAAACTGAAAAGCTTTTAGATTACATGTAATTGAAATTCTTTGTGTTCGGCCTTAATATCTAAATTGTTATATATCAATTGTGTTGTAAAGAATGTAATAAAAATATTGCACAAAAGATAAACTGCAGAAATTTTAGTTTAAAGTAATAATATTAAAATTGTTTACTTACCCTGCTCGATGAGTTGCTTGTGATATTAACATATTTGCACGGTGAAAGTCCCGCTTAACTACACACGCTTTGGCTGCTTGACGCAAAACATCGATAGCGATTCTATATATTAGTACAGAATATATTTTGTAAATAAATATTGTAATTAAATAAAATATTTTACAAACCTTTCAGGTGTATTTTCTTCTAAATGACGCATAGCTACTACACTCCACATGTGGCTATCATCATATTCACTACGTGCAAAGTACATTGCAGAAAACTGCGTATACGTGTTAGCCAGTAATGAATTTGGTATACTTTCAATTTTAATTTCTTTCAATAAGTCAACTATTTCGGCATATGTGCGTCTGGCTGATTTAAAGTTGAACAAAGCAGCTTCGGAATGTAAAAGTCTAAAAAGCAAAAAAATAGTTAATAAATAAATAATAATTTATATTATATTAGATTTATTACAATATATTTACATACCTTTGTAAGCAGTCTAACCGTAAAACACGCATCTCGTTATCCATTTCTTTAATGTCTCTTAGTCTAGCTGCAACACTTTGTAATACTTGAATACTTTCTGCTTGCCAACCAGCTTCAGATAAAAACGATCCTAAACGCAAACCAAAATCTATTGCCTCAATTCCGAAATGAGTTTCACTTAAATTCCAGGCCTCTAAATCATCAGCCTGTTCAATAATATTAGGAACATCATCCGTTGAATTATCGCACTCTTGAGCAGTATCGACTTTAGTGCAATTATTTTCTATAGATACATTCGATGTTATAGTATCTTCTGTATTTCTTGAGTATTTAGTTTTTCTTTGATAATGTGTCCTGTAGTTTCTTTGAAGATTATCTGCAAGTAATTTGTTGCTACTCATTAGAGCAGAAAGGCAATGAAAAAGTTTTTGACGCGCCGGATCAAATCTTAAGACGCGTTCAAATATATTTAAATCCGAAAGTTGTTCCAATAACATATCTTTAACCTCCTCTCGATCAGCCATCTAAAATTAGAAGAATTATTAAAATTTCAACAATATAATTTAAATTAATTAAAAGATAATAAATTAATTATACAATTATTTTTAAATAAACAATTGCATATGTAACAATACAACTGATATAGGCAACTTACAACGGAGGTTTTGTTTACTAGTAACTGCGCTGACGTTTAATTTTTATCAACGAGGCAGCCCATAAGTGATTGGAATAGGTCAATGACATTGCAGAATACAACTACAACAACTTTATTCTTGTCTTTTTACTCTATCGGTCCACGCAAGCAAACTCAATTTGCAAATTATATGAACTTGCGAGTATAGAGCAATTTGTAAAAGCAAAAAATAGGATAAATAAAATTGGTTGGATGCCACACATTAATTACTTACTTTACGATCTATTTTTGTATTTTGCTAGTTGAAGTTTTGCATCATTTTCAATATAATAATAAACTTAAGAGATTTGAATTTACCAATTTTTAAAACCTTTATATATTGATAGTATATAATTGGTGTGCTTGGACTATACACAAAAAACATAGATCGAAAATGAAGAACTAAGAACAAAAACCAAAAAACTAAAGGCAATAATGCATAAAGATGGGATCAATGCACGCGTCTCTAATAGGTTCTTCAGGTTATTATCAACCTGTAATCAACAGTAGCAAATTCATGAAACTAATAACAATGATCTATAAAGATGGGTGGTCTATGGATTAATATCAACATAAATCTAGCTGCAGTGATCCCCGTTACTTTGAATTCAGACTATTACATCAATAACGGAATAATCATCTTTGGAAGTCTGGCAAGTTTAAATATAATTTCATACAAATCAAATTTGTGTAAAATATGGATTGTTTTAATTTTTTTATTTTTGGTAGTCAAGGAATGTTTATTGTCCTAAAGTTAACACGTAGATACAAACCATATGGAGTGACTTAAACAGCATTAATATATAGTATACACATATATGTGAAAGATTCAAATACCAGATAAATATAAAAAAAAAATTTATATATTTATATAATATATATTTAAATGTTATAATACATTTAGAATGTTCTAAATCATATTTCTCTATTTAAATATATTTAAATATGTATCTCTATTTAACTTAAAATACGGAATCCATCAAAACAAATAGTTAAGTATTTTATAAAAATCTCTTTATTGTGTTAACAGACTTTTCTGAGAACTTAAAGCAAATATTTATTTATTTACTTAGACGAATGCGTAAATATACGATTTATATCATATAAAGCCGTCAAATATTTTTGAAGTAGAATAATTTTATACGTAGAGTCAAAATCAAATACAATAAAAACAAATTGAAATTGATGTCGTTGGCGGAATATTAATGAAAACAAAAATATGGCCTGAGGTGCGTATTAATAGACAGTTGATTATGAAGGCCTTGATCATTCCAATTACAATAAGCATTATAGTTAAGCCGGTTCATAAGCAGATACTAACTCTTTCATAGCTTTAAAACCATTCTAGGAATATAGACAGAAAGATTATAGACAACACAATAAACATTTGATTTAAAATTCTCTATGTCTATTCTCTATCTGTAGTCCATGTTGAGAATTTATTAAACACAATCTTGATGAAACATTCATAAAAGAAAACATTGTATGTAGTTGCAAATAATACAACCATAAAATTTCATTTAGATGAACCTAAAACCCAACTTCTTTAGAATGTTCTTTGTAACTACACTTGTTTTTGGTTTTACTGTGATGAATCATTTTAGGCACCTGCTCATTTAATCTTTTTGCGATCTTTATTTCCTGTTGCTAACATCTTGACAATGCACATTTTTCTTATCTCATCGGTTATTTTTGTAGCCTTAGATAAGACCTTTTAATAAAAAAGATATTGTGCAGTTTTATTCATGCTTTGATTACCTTCAGTATTTTTATATTTGGGCAATATACATTGTTTTTGACACGTGACAGCCAAATATACTACACAATGTAACCAATTCGCGTATTATCATCTATAAATTGTAAGCGTTTTTGTTTGTAATAGCAAAATTATTCTATAAAATTTCTCGACATACTTATTGAAAGTGTAAACAAATTACTAAAGATCGATTATGATAGTTAGACAGACAACATAAACAGAATAATAAATTATTATTTTTTTTGGTAAGAAACACAAACATAAACTTTGAAAATAAAAATTAATACACAGATTGAAACTAGAAAGTATCTACATTATTAAAGCTATGGAGACTGATGTCGTTAATGTCATGCTACATCTTCTACCATAGATCACTATATTGAGAATACTGTTTGCGTCAGATTAGGCTCAAAGTAACAGATTGCTTGGCAGAATATACATACGGACATAGTCGTATTCTTGAAACAGTTCCAGACTATTAGTACAGAATAGTATTAGACTATATAATCTAACATTTAGATTTTAAAAACTAATTTAAGGAAATATTTCAATCAAGAAAGGCATGGAAGACATTTATTGACATTTATTGAAATTTATTGAAATTTCATCAACTGCGAAGTACTAAATTAGTGTTTTATTATTAAATCGAATCTAGTCAGAGAATACAGTGCCGAAATCAGCAGGATAAATCAATTCGCTTATATCAATCTCATATGTGTTTACGGATATAAGAGGATTGGAAATCGTTTAAAAGAACACTTACATACACTTTGTGCAGTTAGCACATAAAAAAGAAACTCACAAAATCTGTACATCCGCTCGACCTGGTGTATAAGAGGATTTATTCTTGGGAACTTAATCATGCACTATAATAATGCTTATTCCACATCATACACGTCACAGAAGTATAGGAATCGATGCAGAGACACCGTTTTTCCTTTAAACTTTCGTTATTCAAACTTTAGAAATTTGGACGAATAGAACAAGAAACAATTACGTATTTTCTCTGTAGTTTCCCAACTTTCACTAACAAAACGAATAGGTTTCTACGAAAATGCTTTCGCACAGTTTTCACCGGTAATTCTCCAGTGAAAAGAATGTTAAATGACGTACACACAGTAGGATTGATTTAATGTTATTTTTTTTTGTCGATAGTGACGCGTCTAATGACGAATTTAAAAGTTAGAAGGGTTCGTATAGAAATAAAAATATAAAAAATTTTAGTTTTTAGAAATCAACCACTTGTATTTGATTAACTAACAGCATAGAACTAAGTAGCTTATCATAAGGGTTACACTTTGAACCCTTATGATAAGCTATTCATACCTGTCTTCAAGGTAGATTGGGTCAGTAACATCTAACATCTTACTCAGCATACAAACTTAATGCCAATTTTAACTTTTTACTTTCATTACCACAGTTATCATGATAAATTGTGAGTACTTTCTTTTTAGGGGCCACCACTGGTTTGAACACCAACATAAATTATCCATTAATTTTCTATTTTGCAAATTAGGTACTGTCAAATAAAATTAAAATTGATGATAAGGAAAATTAGTACGAGTGCCAAAGTATTATACTTACTACAATATTTATATTGTATTTATAATTTGTCCGTAAGATTATCAATATAAATATTGAGCTAGATTAGGTTAGATTGCAGTGGCGGCCTTGCACACCAATAGTATTGATTTAGTGGATAACATTTATAATGATAATTATTTATAATGATTCTATGATAAGGGACATCAGTGTTATGTTCACTGATGTGAATAAAAATAAATAATATAAAAAACTTATGATAATGAAATGAAACACATTTTTGTAAGTAATTATAGATAAAGGAATAGATAGTTCAATCGAGTTTTGATATATATATAAAGAGTGTTTATATGCTTCGAACTCGGTTAATTTAGTTATTATTATTTTACCATAAACATATTTTTTAAAAAAATGTTATTAACATTATGCATTTAAACAAAAAAAAAGAATTATATCATTTCTATATCTATTAATTAGTCTTCTACATTAAATGATACCATATAATTAAACAACATTATAGTAATTAACTTTATTATTTTAAAATAAATAAACTTTTTGTATAAAGTTACCTAGTTTTAATCAATTAATTACAATGTTATTGCTTTATAATTAAAAATAATTGAAAATCAAATTAAAATTGTCATTGGTAAATGAGTTAACTTTTCAATATAATCAGTTTAGTATAAAAAAATATAATGTATTTTTAAATCATTTTTTTAATCAATTTATAAAGGGAGATTGAAGCCGATAAATAAAATAAAATTAGAAAAAGTTTTATTTATGCAATTCAAAATGAATTTACCATAACATTGTAATTAAATAAAAAAATTAATTAGGAAATATTTAATATTTAAAAATATAGAAGATATATGTAGGAGATTTAGCATTATATAGTAAAAATAAAAATTAAATAGAACTAAATAATCTGCATACATATATTTATATTTAATCATATTAAATTTATAGACTAAAAATAGAATTTTTGCATATTCATAAATGCAAATAAATTTTTATATAAAATAATATAAGGGATTAAACAGTAAAATGCAAAATAAATAAAATACTTGAATGTAATGTATATTCTGGTTTGATATAAAGAATTTGTTTTTCAAAGGCATCTAAAATACTTATGTTAAAAAGTTTTTACTTTAATTTGAAATTTCCTTATCTCTTCATAAAAATATATATATAAATAGAAACATAAAAATTCATATATAAATATGAATGTTTACTTTATAGTTTATTACTAAAAAAGATATCATATATACATTTTATAAGAGTATCTTACATTATTGACATATCTTTTCATATTCAACTGTTTAAACAAATTATGTATGTATTTTCACATATACATACTTATACATATATTGTAAATTCGTTATAACGTTCAGTTTTTAGCAGCAAGAGATGTATTAAAGCGGTACAAAGTAAGATGTGATGAACTGAGAGCTCAATATTAAGAATTACTACTTAATTATATTGAAAGAAAGAGCACATATTTAGGTTGTAAGATCTATTCTATAATTCACATCAAATTATTTTAAAAACCAGAAAATATTAAACCCTTTCAAAAGAGTCTTGTGGGATTATGGTACTCCATGAATTGAAAATATTTATTAACATTAAAGGTGCCACTTTTTAAAAAAGCTCTCATTATTATTGTAGCCTAAACAGGCAAGAAAAAACCGGAATAACATGGATGATAAGACAAACATACGGGTTGAATGGGACACAAGAAGAGATTGATAGATAGATAAAGATATGAGAAATTAGAATGTAAGTGGGATGGTTTTGAACCTAGGTCAGACCGTGTATACAGTCGAACTGTTAAACAAATAAATATTATTTAAAATAGATCAATAGATCTGTTAAAACAAATGGATGTCATGTTGAAAATATGAATGTCAAGTTGAACAGATGGAGTGAAGATACAGTTTGAAAATACGTTAAGCACAAAAGTGTTTAAATGTGACAAGTAACTGTTTAGCAAACATGTGGCTATATCCTAACCTAAGTTAGTTCAGTACATGACAATAAACTGTTTGACATTTGACTACATCCTAACTTAAGTTGAGTCAATAGAATTTTGCAGCATGTGGAAATTGTCTTGCAGTATAGGAGTTTTTTCCGCCACAAGCTTAATCGTTAAGAAGATACAATCTTAGTATAAATGGCAGATAGCCCTTGTCAATATTCGACCTCACTGATATTGTTTTTGTTACGATAATAGTTTAGTCTATTGCTGCTAAATTATAACAACAATATTGGAATGAACTGACAATTCAATGATATTTATTTGTTAAAATTTTATGTTTTAAATTATTAGTAGACCGAACATTACAACTTTACTCAATATTTCAATTTTGTCAGATTTTTCAGAAAATATACATTTAATTCAATATCTTTAAATACCAAAAGTTTAAATACCAGTCGCCCAATTGTCCAACTGAAGTTCCGTCAATTTATTCATTTGTGTTTGCGTCCAGACCCAATTATCAGACTGGAGTTCTGTCATCTTCACTAAGGCCCATATCAACCTTAGTGGTTATAAACCCATGCACTCAGTACATCGCCACTAGCAAAACCCGAACCCGAGTGATTTTTGGTTACTCGTTATATTTTCAACAGCAAAAGGGCAAAAATAATATAAATAAAAGATGGCATACCTACACCCATGATATGGAGAAATGGATATGGGCCCATGAGGGTGACAGAACTTTAGTCTGACAATTGGGCAATTGGAGGTCTGGACACCAACACAAATGGAAAAATTGATATTATGAATGAGACGTTGAAACTAACTGAATGCTGTTATCTCTGTTATTTCTGTCAATATCTTCATGATAAATCATTATAAAAGAATTGACCCATATAACCCACAAAACTAGTAATGCTACTATAGCTTAGTGAAAAATAATTTAGCGAGTCTGATCTGTACCGCTCTAAATTTATGAATGAAATACTAAAATCAACTCAGTGATATTATCTCTGCTATGACAAGTGTCAATAATGTTTTCATGACACAATGAAAAAATACGAGAGATATAATCCAGAGTTTAGTGAAAAATAATTTTACGACTTTATTTTGTACCATTCTGTGGTGTATATAAAAATTTGAAATTATGAATGAGAGTTTAAAACCAAGTCATGGTTATCAACTGCGTTACGAGTGAAAGGATCGACGAACATAACATCAAGAGAGGTTTGTAGGAAAACTTGTAATTTCACAATATTTTAGTAAAAAGTAATATACATTAAGACTGAAAAGTTTTCGGAAATTCTCATTTAAAATTCGCGCGCTGTATATTTTTCGATATTTTAAGTTTATGTAGTTTGGCAGCACTGTCCTTAATTACTATGCCAAAAATGAGCTCGATCTGTCAGACAGTTCGTTTACGGCAGCTGTTGAAACCAGTTCACCTCAGTAGTGCGTTGCGAAATGTCTTCGACGGTCGTACGACCGTCCTGGAAGGCTTTGTACCACTCATAAACTTGAGTTTTCGATAAAACTGATTCCCCATAAGCCTTTTGTAGCATTCGCAACGATTCTGCACACGAAATTTCGTTCGAAACACAAAATTTGATGCAAACTCTTTGTTCAATATTTTTTTCCATTGTTTTTTTCGCAACGCCCTACTGAGGTGAACTGGTTTCAACAGCTGCCGTAAACGAACTGTCTGACAGATCGCGCTCATTTTTGGCATAGTAATTAAGGACAGTGCTGCCAAACTACATAAACTTAAAATATCGAAAAATATACAGCGCGCGAATTTTAAATGAGAATTTCCGAAAACTTTTCGGTCTTAATGTACATTTTACTACTGTGATCTGCTTTATTCTGCTTTTTATATGAAAGGTAAAAAATATATAAATAAAACTTGAAAAACAACTTTTTTAGGCAGCACAGTCCATCTCCAGACAATCAATTGGTATGAGTCAGGGGGACACTACGAAGACGTAAACTCAAATCTGTCTTTACGTCATACCTACACTTTTGACACAACTGTATAGCTCACATTCTAGTCATATGGTTCACTTTATCAGGCGGAAGAACTCTGAATGTGGGTAAGTATTAAGAATTATTGAATATATATTATTTCATATATTTCTATGTTTTCTTAAGCATTTAAGATAATAATGATAATAGAAAATATTTTCTAAAAGTCACATAAACTGTAGTCTATTTACGAATTTTAATTTGAGTAGTCAACTTGTGATTTACGCTGTTTTTGAATTATTCAATCACGACTTTACAAATATCATAAATTTTCCATAATTATAGTTTTTAATTTAACGGAATATGAGAAATTGTAATACTAAAATCCTATAAATAATCAAATTTGGTTATCCAGTTGGCTCCATAAACAAGGATTAATAGCAATATGAAATAACTGGAAGTATACGGCGCTTTAAAAACCCGTTAAGATCGATAAAAAGATTCGATTTTTAAGTTGATTATTTAAATATACAATTTATAATTGTATAGCAAAATGGCTCAGAATAAACATGCTGTGTTATTTTGTTTGTTTTTTATTACTAGTTTGTTTGGAGTGCAATTTTTTAATCTTATTTTGCCAGCTGATTGTGACATCAACAAGAAAACAAACAACAAACCACTACACGCACATTTACGTATGTGAAATACGTACCATGACAGGTGCTGCTAGTAATATACAATATTTCAACAAGAAATTTTATATTATACAATTAAATTTTTTTTAAAATGCATATATTTCTTTTCTTTATATTATTTAATATAATCACTTGATAGGATTTTTTTTTATTATAAAGCACGCAAATATTATGTGTGAATTATTACACACTGATACATGATTTGGACAACGTATAGGTAGTGCAATAAATATTGTTCATACTAAATTTTTGGTCTTCTTTGAAATGTTTGAATTTGTTTAATCACAAACTTGTATTAGGAAAACAAGATTTAATGTGGATATATGTATACACATATAGTCACATTTTTTTTTTTTTTTTGTGTGTAACAGCACTGTTGATTTCATTTTCTTTTGCTAAAACGTGTAGACTCTTTCTTATCTTAATGGTGTCCGTGTAGAGTTTTGCAACTTTTCCTTATTGTATGATATTATAATTTCGCTTTCATTTATTTTAAAATATTTTCACTTTTTTTAAATTTATATTTATTGAATACTCACTCGCACATAAATATCGATAAGTACTTCTGGTGGCAGGTAACGTAATTTTTGTACACTATCTAACATTGTAACTGTATAATTGAGATTTGCAACGTATTTATTTATGCACTGCTCATAAAGAGTTTCAGGAGTTTTCGTATAATTTATGCTTGCCATTTCTACAATATATATTTGTGCTAAAAGCACTTTTAAAGTTAGATGTAACACTTGCAACTAAATTATTTGATTTTAACTATTTTAAATCCAACGACACTGACACCTAAACCTCACATAACGACGTCTAATTTTTAACTAAAGTATAACATTATTTTTGTTAAACTTGTGTAGACTTAAATGTCATCATATTAAGATAGAATGAATAAAACATATGTTGGTATTTTGACAGTTTAACATTAGAGTTACCATGAGCATCTCTATATTTATAATATATTGTTAATAAAATGTAAATTATATTAAAGATTTTATTTATTAAAAAATGAAAAGCAACGTCTGTATTCTTTTCAAATTCTTCAGACGTTGCTGTTATATTTATTAATCTATGTTAAGAATGGAATAATAAATTTGACATTTATATGATATTATATGATATAGCAAATAGAAATATTGTGATTATTATATTTGAAAATATAATCAAAAAAACTTTAACACTAACGTATCGGTCCCCATTTAAAAATTTATTGAATCATATTATTTATTTATTATTAAAGTATATAGTAAATACTATATATCAAAGTATTATTATAAATTAAAAAACAATATGTATACCATATTCGCAATTAAAAATTTACTTTTTTTTAAATCGATTTACAAAATATCTGTTAGAATATATCAAATGTTTCCAAATTGGGATCAATGACAGAGAAATCAGATGTACCACCAAATGTCCACCAGTGTCTTAAAATATCTCTCACGATCATAAATCGTGTTGTTATATATTCGAAATAATGGAAGAAAAGAGCACCTGTGATATACCTTATGTTTAATTATGTTACATAAACATTACTTTTTTGAATACTTACTGGATGTCATTAATGCACATGAGCAAACAATTGCTTCTTTTAAAGTTAGACCCTCTGTTGGATTTTCATTGATATTCTCCAAGCATATCAATATCTGTTGCAGCACAACATGAGCTAAAGGTACAAGGGAAGCGCCACAAACAATATGCCTTGTTATGGACCCCAAGCAACGCATGCAAAAAAAGGCACGCATCATTTCAAATACGCTAACTCTTTCATAAGGTATATTGAAACGTTCATGGCAAATCTCACAATGATTATCACGACGATGTAACATCCAACGCTTCAAGCACTGTAAATGCAAGTAACCCTGAGAAGTTTCAAAAATAAATATTGTACATACAATTGTTATGCAACTTTAATTTACCACACTTCCTTTACAATTACATGGTGATTTTACAATTTCCATGTCACTGCGGTTCCAACGACATATTCGACACGAGTTACCTAAATCATCAGCTGAATCAACAGGAACCACTGTTTTAGATGCACTTATGGTTGAAACTGTTCCGATGGATGTACCTGACTGTGTTGCAGATAATCCGTCATTATTAAATGCCCGCAGTACCGTTATTTGCGAAAATGTTTGAATTAATGAATCAGTGCGGGAGGGTCTACGCGTTGGAAAAGGCATTGTAGTCGCCTAAACAGGCGACTATAAATCTAGTTCGTGTTAATCAATTTTAAAATCTGCCTGAACAGCACTATTAATTTTGAAATAATTAATTGCGAATCGGCATTATTCTTGTTGGATTGTGCTAACAAGTTATATAGTTCTATAAAAATTAAATAGGATTATTATTTTGATCACAATATAAAGTTTTTTGAAACTTATATTTTTTAGCACTTTAAATTGCCTACTACTATTTATTTTTTAAATTTCATTTGAAAAAAATTGCTTCAAGTTTGCTTTTGGCGGATAGTACTTACTGCATTAGATAAAATGATAAATCGGATATGTGCTAAATGAAGAATTGATAGAATCTGATCACGATAAAACTGATAAAAGTGATGCCACAAAATTCTAAGACATAACATATTAGAAAAGAAAATGGAGCTATTCCATAAATTTTGTACTGAATGCATTTATCTTCAGTTCTTCACCTTGAAGTACTTAAGTTATATCTAATTAAAACGACCATATAAACCGGCGCCGAATAAAGATTAAACTGTTAGGGACTATTATTGTAATTAATGTTTGGAATCAATAAATGCTTTTAAATTTTAATAGTTTTGTTGCTCTACGCTATACCAAGATATATATGAATAACGGAACACTGAGATCCTTCCTTGTTTTTCTAATCAGAGGAGGGCACTAGTTGATTACGTATTCAAGGGTTTGATTTTTGTTTTATTCTTTTAAAAAAATCAGCGAATGCGAAGCTGTCAGCTTACGTCAATGGCTCTCATTACTTCGCGATTTAAATACTAGTTAATTTTATTAAGTGGTATTACGTTCTTATAAACTGCCTTATTTGCAATAATGTCAATATATTCTATCACCTTATACTTCTATATATGTACTTCTGTATATGTTCTTTACTTCTGTTTGTATTCATTACTTATGTTTGTGTTCATTACTTTTGTATGATTTTGGACAATGTTTTATATACCGTAAAAATTATATTAACCGACTAATGATCTATGTAAAAATTTGAGAAGATACTTTACCAGTACCTTACTGATGACTATGATTTTTTTTTTTAAATAGTGGTTATCTAATAATGTTTTGACGAGGACTACTGTAACTACCCGTTTTCACACAGCCAAAACTTGTGGTTGTTAATAGACCTTATAGCCAATTTCATTTTTACTTTTGGCTATAAATATAGTCCTTATTAATTGTATGTATGGAAGTTAGAGAGTTGTGTTTAGACAATTGTGGTGAAATAAAAACGATTGTGCGGAACCATATAGCCTTGTGGATTATATAAGTCTACAGGCAAAAGATTAAGAATCGCTTTCATTTTAAAGTAGTTCGGTTTTGTTTATTAATTTGTAAAACTACAATATATACTATTGTAATATATGTAATATCACATACAATAAATTAAAATTAGAACAATGAACAACGTGTGTTGAATGTCTCTTTATTTGGTTGATATATCCAGCAATTCATTTAAAGTTATGGAAATGTATCATTTAATAATAATAAAACACAATCTAATTTTTCTCTTTGTTAATATTTATTTTTATAGCAACAATTAGTAAATTAAAGAAATAATAATAAAAAATCGTAAGATAACATATTTCTTCTTTAAATTCTGTAATCAGATACACGATATCTGACGTTATCGACTACTTTTAAAAAAAAATTCTTTAAAAAAAAACAATTTTGCCTTATACTTTATCTTTTTAGGCAATTAAAAACAAAGCAATTGTTGTGTGTATGTAATTACATTTTTGTTAGTAAATATGTTTATATATATGTGCTTATAAATAATACATAAAAGATCTCGTGTTTTATTATTTATTAATAGTTATCGTTCAATTTTACATAAACGTTTTATTTTTTATTATAAAAACAAATTATCAAATTGAGATATTAATAAAAAAATTATATTATAATAATAACAAACAAATAATGTCAATAAAAAAACAACAAACACAATTTCTAATTCTACGAGCGTTCAAAAAGTCAGAGGATCATCACCGACAATGGTGAAGTTGTAAAATGAGTTATTAGACAATATATTGATCAATATAATTTAAAGTAAATTATTGTTTACTGAGATATTTTCTATATTATATATGAATATGTTTTTTTTTAATGAACAGTTCAATATTTATTTTAAAACAGTTTTGAGTTTAAAATATCGTTGATGAGAAAAACTTTGATGAGAGACAAATGCCGTTTATATATTGAATATATAATTAATATTACATTTTTGTATATATGAGTATACATATATTATTGTTAGTGAGATTTTTCTATATTGTCGACGATATGTTTATATATATGCATATATAATTGATTTATTGACAATTGCGAAAACGACGATATATGCTCTGCACATAAACGAATACGCACTTCCAATCGGGTCGTTTCATAACTACCATATCTTCGACGTCTAAGAGTGGTGCTATGCCGGCTTTCTCACTGAAGAAGTGTAAAAGAAAATAAAATTATTAAAAACATAATTTTTGTGATTTGAAATAAATTTAAAAATAAAAGAGTATATACTTGTATTCTGAATATAAACTATAATAAGTAAACAACGTAATTGAAATAAAAATATTCTATATATATAAATTTAAATAATAATAAAAATCCTGAAAAATGTAACTTAAAGTGTTAAATGCCAGAATATAATTATCAACAACAATCCAAATATCGGATAAAAAAAAATTGTTATATATTTTTACTATTTTGCAATAGATTAAGATATCTGCGTCACTAGTTCTCTTCAATAACAAGAAAAAAGTTATCAAACTGGTAAATTCACCGGCAACAAACAACAACACAGAAACAGAGGTTGTGCTCCACGGACATCTGGTTCCTTACATTTCCTGCATTCATCGCTGCTGGTGATATTTAGCTTATGGGCATGCATGATCATTTGTAATCAACGGACGGAAATAGAAGAGACATTGCATGGTTTTCTTGATGTCGGTTTCTTGCATTTTCTGTTTGCATGGTAATTTGGAACCGGACAGGAATAGAGAAGACTTGTATCTCCTGTATTTATCACTGCTGGCGATATTTAGCTATTAAGCGTACGTTACAACTTACAGTAAAATAGTTGCTTCTTAAAATATTAACTAACATTATTCGGTTCTAGTCTAATCTAATCGTCTAATCTTAAAAAATTAAAATATTTGGTCACAATAATAGACCATATAAAAATAATATAGAAACAATATATAGAAATAAAAAATTAAAAATAATTGTATACAAATTAAAATTAAATATAGAAATTAATAGAAGTTAAATAGAAGTGTGTTTTTATACACTTATTTTAATTTTTTTTTAAAGGATATATTTGTGTCTCTTCAAAATTAATTGTTACATAAATAAATTTGTGATTATAATAACAATAATAAAATTATATAAAATAATATTTATTTTTTCATAATATAAATTTTCATATGTATACTTACTCAGCCACAGTGAAAGCTAGTTCAAAATTATGTCTTCGGGTTTGTGGGGTTAGTTTACTATAATCAAAGGCATCTGGCAAGAAATGATGTATTAGGGCACAAAAAGCTAAACCGTCTGACCAGCTCGTACTAAAGTTTGTTATTTGGACGTTCTGAAAATATTATATACATATAATAACAATTAAAATAATAAATATAAACAATTTAATAATATTTAAGACAACAATTTCAACAAGCCCAACATGCTATTTGCTGTAAGTATAGCAAATATTAAAATAATTATTCGTGTATGTACATAAGTTATACGTTAAAATATAATTTTTATAAGCATTAAAAAATATATTAATAAAAAAAATTAAATTTATATACAAATTTTATTATAGTTTAATTAATATAATATAGTAAATTTATAAATTTTTTCATTTGTAATTTAAAGGAATACAGACAATATTTGCATAGTACTCGATTTTTGTATCACATTGTAATTACCAATATTCTTGCCAATGTTTTACATTATCGAGTAGCAGCTTTAACCAAAAAGATAGCCAAGTTAGTGAAGTAATAACTATTGTGACTTAATACATATATTACAATTGTGGATCTCAGATCTGTTGTTGGTATTGTTGTTGAAGGATATAGCCCGCATGTCGTTTTTAATAGATTCACTCATTTCTAAGTTGTTTTCTATTGAAAAATAAACATAGTCACAGCAAAAGAATAAATATATTTAAATATTAAATATATTTAATACTTTTTTTATTTCAACGTTTATAGTACTCTAATTTTCAGTACCATAGAACTTTATTAAAATATCTAAATGATTCTTTTTTTACTGTTTAGTAATTCTTGATCCTTGACATTTTTTTTAATTTCTTGGTTATCATTTCTATGACTTTTTTTTAAATTAAAATTAATACTAAACAAATTGCTATTCCTCAAACATTTAAAAAAAATTGATCTAAATAATTAGTAATAAATAGGTTACTTAAATTTTATTTTCCTAATTTAAAAAAAAAATATAAAAAATATTTTATTATTTAATAATTTAATGACTCGAGTTGAGTACTTATTGCATTTCTCTGATTCAAATATTATCCGACTACTCAAACTAGTTATTCATATTCGTCAAATAATTTGAATATCAAATCTTTCAAATAAGTCGCTTTAAATATAGTTATAGGTCTGACATAATGGAAATTTTCTATCATTATTAATTAAATAGCATTTAGTTTTAGTAATAAAAATATAATTTTGGTAAATAAGAATATAATTTTTAAAGAAAAATAAAAAGCGCAAATAGTATTTTTAATTAAATGAGTTAATTGTACGCATCAAGCGGCTAAGCTATTAATTGTAATTAATTAAAGAAAAATTAAATCTAATTAGTTTAATAGTTTATTGCACTTTATTTTTGCAATTTGCATTTGCTTTGGGCTGCCACTCACAAATATTTATTCAACTAATGCCAAATTCAAGATACCTCATATTCCTTTGTTTTCATTTGGCACCACTGTAGAAGTTGATCCTTGACAGTGGCGGCACGCGCATTTAATGCCGGATCGGTAAATCTGAAAATTGGTGCTGAACCAGAAGGAGAGGCAGTACCCCCAGGAGTTGTGGGTGTTGATGGAGATCTGAACAAATGTTTTTTTTTGTTTATTTTTATGCAATAATATTTAACTTAGAAAAAAATTTCTATCTGTGATTGGTATTTATTACCATTAAATAGATTATAATTTCTGTTTTAATTTTATTTTTTTAACTACAAGAAGTTGTACGATAAACTTTTGTTAGCAAATAAAAGAGCGGGAATAATTAAAAGGTGATAACTAAGATAATTAAGGGTTTCGTTCTCCATAGATATTAGAAAAAAAGTTTACAATAAGGAAAAGTGAGCTGAATACCAATTTTATTTTGTGGCAACTTTTGAAAAAGAAACTTTTCAAGCTAAAAAAAAATATATGTATTTAATTTGTAATATTTTTTCATCGGAGATATTTTATATATTTTATTAATAATTATTTTTATAAAAATAAAATATTAAAAGATATTTTTATAATTTGGTATATAATTCTTATATGGGAAAAACAAGCAACAATGAGTTAGATGCAATTTTAAACTACAGTAAATTACAGTATTAAAGGCTCGCAAAAATCCGGATTAAGGCAAAATTTTTCTTTATCACTCTAATATGTGCGCACGCCCCGACGGAAGATAAAGATGACGACACCAAGGAAATTTTCTATGAACAACTTGAACAAGCATATGAACGCTGTCCCCATCATGACATCAAAATAGTTGTTGGAGACTTCAACGCAAAGGTGGGTAAAGAAGGTATCTTTGGTGCTACTGTCGGAAAGTTCAGCCTTCACACGAAAACTTCTGATAATGGAAGAAGGCTGATTGATTTCGCCGCGGCTAGAAACATGGTGGTTAGTAGTACCAGATTCCAGCATCTCAACATACATAAGGCAACATGGCTGTCACCTGATTAAAACACAAGATCTCAAATTGATCACGTTGTGATAGACGGAAGGCATGCTTCCAGTGTCTTGGATGTACGTACTATCCGTGGAGCCAACATCGACTCGGATCATTACCTTGTTGCAGCCAAGATCCGCACACGTTTATGTGCGATGAAAAAGGTACGTGAACAAGCACAGCGAAAGCTAGACGTCGAAAAGCTGCAATCACAACAGACAGCTAATGACTTCGCTACTCGACTCTCCCAATATCTAGAAAACTCATCTGAAGAAGCCGATATATGCGCGCAATGGAACCACATCTCTAACTCTATGCGTACCGCTGCAGAAGAGGTGATCGGCTATCACCGTATACAAAGAAACAGCTGGTACGACCAGGAGTGTCGCAATGCTACCGCAGAGAAAGACGCAGCATATCAAGCCACCCTGCGGTCAGTTGCGACGCGCGCTGTTAAAGAGCGATATCGGCAAAAGAGAAGGGAAGAGAAACGTCTTTTCAGGCGAAAAAAGAAGGAAACAGAAAGACGTGAGTACGAAGAGCTTGAGAAGCTGGGCGACAGGAATATGGCTCGAAAATTCTATCAAAAAATCAAAAGCCTGACAAATGGTTATAAACCCGGAGCTAATTCCTGCAAAGATGAAAACGGTAATCTGGTGATAGATGTCCAAAGCATGCTTAATATTTGGAGGGATCACTTCTCGAAACTACTAAATGGCGGTAGTAGCAATGTGACTGAAAGCGAAGATGACCCCGAATTTTCAATCGTTGACGATGAAATAATCGTCCCGCCTCCCGATCATAATGAAGTTAAAACAGCTATAACGCGGCTCAAAAACAACAAAGCTGCAGGCGCCGATGGTTTACCGGCTGAGCTGTTTAAAGCTGGTGGCGAAGAGCTATCAAAATGCATGCTACAGCTAATTCGCAACATTTGGTCGGATGAATGCATGCCAAACGATTGGAATTTAAGTGTGCTTTGCCCAATCCACAAAAAAGGTGATCCTGCAAACTGCGCCAACTACCGCGGGATCAGTCTTTTAAATATCGCATATAAGGTTCTGTCAAACGTACTATGTGAAAGATTGAAGCCAATCGTCAACCAACTGATTGGACCTTATCAGTGTGGCTTCAGACCTGGCAAATCCACTCTAGACCAGTCACAGTGCGTCAAATCCTGGAGAAGACTCAAGAAAAACAAATCGACACACACCACCTATTTGTCGACTTCAAAGCTGCTTTTGACACTACGACTAGAAGCACACTCTATGCCGCTATGTCTGAATTTGGTATCCCAGCAAAACTTATACGGCTATGTAAAATGACGTTGATACCTCTCCGAGCCGTTTGATACCAAACCAGGTTTCAGACAGGGTGACTCCTTGTCGTGTGACTACTTTAACCTAACGTTGGAAACGATAATTCAAGCAGCAGATTTAAACCGTACTGGCACAATATTCTACAAAAGTGTAATGCTGCTTACGTATGCCGACGACATTGATATCATTAGTCTGAACACCCGCGTCGTCAGTGCGGCATTTTCCAACTTAGAAAAACAAGCAAAGCAAATGGGTCTTGTGGTAAATGAGAACAAAACAAAGTACTTTCTGTCAACAAACAAATCTCCTGAGCGTCGTGGGACCTACGTCACTGTTGACAATTATAAGTTCGAAGTTGTGAAAGACTTTATTTATTTAGGAACCAGCTTAAACACCAAAAATGACGTCAACCTAGAGATTCAACGAAGAATTACTCTTGCCAACAAATGTTACTTCGGGCTAAGTAAGCAATTGAGAAATAAAGCCCTCTCTCGACAAACAAAAATCACGCTCACAAATCCCTTATAATGCCTGTCCTGCAGTATGGTGCAGAAGCTTGGACAATTACCAACAGTAATGAGAAGGAGTTAGGAGCATTCGAGAGAAAAATTCTTCGAAAGATCTATGATCCCTTACGCGTTGGCGACGAGTATCGAATTAGATGGAACGATGAGCTATACCGCGACATTAACATAGTTAAGCGCATAAAAATTCAGCGGCTACGCTGGCTTGGTCATGTCGTGCGAATGGAAGAAAGTGCTCCAGCTAGAAAGGTATTTGATTCGATACCCGCAGGTGGAAAACGCGGTAGAGGACGTCCGCATCTTCGGTGGAAGGACCAGGCGACCAACGATTTGGGGGCGCTCGGTACTACCAACTGGCGTCAGAAGGCAACTAATCGGGCTGACTGGCGGAGGCTACTCGACGCGGCCAAGGACGACACACGTCTGTAATGGCCAACTAAGAAGAAGAAGAAATTACAGTATTACTATTAAATGCTTTTAGTATTCTCTTTAGTGAACAGTCACCGTCAGCTAACTTTTATTCGTTCTAAAGAGGGTCCTGACCAAAGGGATTATACTATATCAAATACAGTTAAACTTCCATAACTTCTATAACTCGAATTTTTTATAACTGGAACTAAAAGAGTGCAACAGGATTTGAGACAGCATATTACATACAATTTTGCTTCCTTAATTCGAACTTCTACAAAACGTATTTTTTTATAACTCGAATAAAAATATTGTCACATGCCAATAGCAATATGGGAAAGTTTATTCTATAAGTCGAATTTTTGTTTTAAGTATGAATCCATTTTGGTGTTAGGGAAAATCTCTTTTTTCAAACCAAATATTTAATTTTTTCTTTCTTATATAGCGTTAACGATAGCGCACTGCTCTAAAAAAAGCTGGATTTGGTCTTCTCTACATGGGACGAACAAGACGTCATTCCTATAGTTTTATTGAATAACATTAATGAAGATCGTGAATTGTTGGAACAGAATTATTAAGCGTAATTTAAAGTAAATAAAATAAAATCTAATGCTACTTTTAACGATTATATTGATCTTGAAAATGAAATTTTTACATCAACCTTTTTTACAGATAACAATATTTTGAGCATTAATGCTCTGAATTAGTGACTTTGATAGAAGATTCATTCAAAATTCAAAATTTTTATTTGCAAACGAATGATACTACAACTGAAGGTCACTATAAAGCTTTGAATAAATTAAAATCCCTTTTTACTGAAAATAAGAAAAAAAATTAAAATACAAACCCTAATTTCTGAATATTTTTTTTTCACTATAACTTCTGTTATTCCAGTTTATTTCAAAAAAAAAAAAATAAAAATTGCTTAACTCGAAGTCTCCATAAGTCGAAATTTTTCTTTGCAAAATGGTACTTTGAGTTATGGAAGTTTGATTGTAATGGAAAAAAATGGTTCCTAAAAATTGTTTACCTAAGAGAAGTGTCAGTTTAACAGAAGTAGCCATTTGAAGGCTTTTCATTTTTGTACGCTTAATTTTAGAATGTTTAGATTTATTGTCTTAATATATCAAAGTTAATTAGTTAACTTTTTTTATCTTTTGATTTAATAACTAATTAATTTCTTTTAATGCTAATAACAATTATGTTTTATTTGAAGCATATAAACGTCATCGCTCAGTTCTTGTGTATTCGGACAGTTAATATAAACGAAACGAATGTGAACAATATGTTAATGCTTCCAAGGTTTATAACGTTTTAAATATTCAACTTATTCCGCTGTTCCATTTCTATTATTTCTATTGATAACATATGTATCAATATTTGTATGTATCACATATTTTTTAATATAAAATAATAATTTTTTGTAGAGTAAGCGCATATACTAACAAAAAAAAACACATCTAATGTAACTGATATTATAAACTTTTATTGATTCTAACTATTGTTGTTATTTTTCCCTTGTATTTCTTATATACATATATAATAATATGTAAAATGTTAATTTTAACAAAATGACCAAATTTTTTATTTTTTGTTTTATATTATATATTTTTAAATTATATATTTAATAGAAGAAAAGATATAAACCCATAACCAATATGATACACCATTCTACCATTGTGAAAGAATTATATTAAAAATTAAAAAAATTATATAAAATAAATAATTTTATAATATAATATAATATAGATTTAATTGTTGAAGTTCCCTTTACCCTTAATATTTGTTAAAATTAAATTTAAAAAATAGTAAAATTCGAATAGTAAAATGAAAAATTAGACATTTTTAAATAGATCAAAACTTTTTGCTTATTGAGTATAAAGATTATTATTTTATAACTATTTACTTTAATATGTGTAGTATTTTTTTCTTTTTTTTAAATAATGAATTTAATGGAATATAAATTTAGGTTTTGGTAAAAATAAAGTATTATGATCTTATAGATCTTTTGTACTATATTATCAACTATTACGTTAATAAAAATAGAAAAATAATTTTTGGATTTTTTATGAATACAACTTTTAATATATTATTTTTGTAAAAAATAATATTTTTAACTAATTTTACGTTTTTTATTAAAATTAGAATATTTCATAGCAACCGAAATCACTTTGTCCAACTTATAATGTTATTATTAAAGATTATTGATTTATATTTTTTTGGAAAAATGAGAATAAAATTTTGATCTATTCTTTTAATTTCTCAGATAAGAAATTTATCAATAATAAGTAATTTATTGTAATTTAATTTTCTTACCTTGGCGATTGTTGTGAGTTTTGTTTGTCAAGTTGACGGAATTTTGCAAATGGTGAGACTGGTTTTGGTCCAGTGCCGCTGACGGTTCGTGTTGTTACTGAATAAAAAGGAAATAAACAAGATATATTTAAGTATAATAATTAAAAATGTAATAGATATTAAAATAGCTATAAATAGCTTGAAGTTATACAATATAATTTATTTATATTCATTTATAATTTTTTTTTCTGTTTCAAACATATATTACTATTTTCTTAAATTTTCTATATAAAATTTTTTTTTTGCTTTTTATTACTACAAATTTATTTTATTTCAAAATTAGCATAAATAATCTAAAACTTACAGTCTTAGAGCACGTTAATAAATATATGCTTAACATATGAGTTAGCAATTTTTTACCTTTAGTTGTAGTTGTCACAATGGATCCATCTTTTTCCTTGGTCTCAGATCTTTCCGTAGTTGATGTTGCATGTTGTTGTTGCTCTGTGTAAATAAATTTTATTGTTGAAAATAAAAAAAAAAACAAGAAAAAGAACAAAAGAAAAAAAGCATGCATAAGTTACGAATAAAACAGATTAATTAGCATAAATTAATTTGAAAAAAAAAAAATATTTTAATTAAAATTATTAAGTTAACATACTAAATCAGCTACTTTTGATAAAAGCAAAAAAAAACTTTCGCTTTTTTTTCATTATATACTTTACAGATATATACATTGATACATACATATTTTAGAGCAAAATAATATAAATTTTCATATAAACATTATTAATATATTCGATGCGAATAGCCGAAACAATTTAACATGGTTCCAAAGAAGTTCACCAAAATACAAAACAAAAACACCTCTTCCATTTTGGTACCATTTTGCGAATAACAAAACAACAATACGAGTATAGTATATAGTATGCATATGATCTACAATGCAAATGACAAATTCTAGTACGGCATACATATGAAGAAGCATTCAAAAGTGCATTTTAATTGGGTCAAAGGTATGCGTCTGGAAATCGTCCAAGTATATGAGGGTCTTATTATAATAGTTCTCTTATTACAAAAAATAAAAATTGAACTCTTTACATTCTAAATATCAGAGTATGTGTTGTATATAGTATATAGAATTACTTTTATATATCATTTTAATTTAACTACCGAATTTTTCGATCTTTTTGCTTGTGGAAGAATAATTATTAAACCTCTTTGAAAAATTTAAAATGGCCCAATAGCACCAGAACATAACATATAGAAATAATTCCATATCTTATGCTAAACTATTTGCTCGCATTTAAATAATTATCAGAATATAATAGAATAATAGAAAAACAGAATAATTGAATAATTTTCAAAGGTGATACTGACTTAATAACTACCGCATAATCTTTATATTTTTGTTTATATTTGGATAATTTCGTACTATGAATAATGTTTGTATCTCATGCTAAACTATTTGGTCGTACCTATAATATATATAATTATCTGACTGTTTGAAAAATTTTAAGTAACCAGTAACGAACAATACATAACACATAGAATAATTTTTATACAAAGTTATGATAATTTACTAGCTAGCGAAAATATATTGATCTATTTGTTCATATCTATTTAGCTATCAGACTATTGAAAATATCCGATTATACATAATACACAGTATATAGAATAATTTCCATAGAATGTCATTGTAATTAACTAACTACCGAAACTTTCAAAAACTGATCCATACTATTGATCAACTTTTGATTGTTGATTTTATTGTTGATTTATAACGATTTCCAGATTCATAGTTTCCACTCTAAAGGTAAAATTAAATTAAAGCATGCAAAGTAACGAATGGTTATATACAAACAAATTTAAAAAATAATTATTATAATTATATACCAAAGAAATCGAACTATCATGCTCACAAAGCTAACGAACGCAGCTTGACTTTTAATCTTAAAAATCAGGGTTTCAGATGACATACAACAGATTAAATTGTATATTTACAGAAGGAGGGACAACATGGTTTACTTTTTGAGAGATAAATGAATATTTACAGTAGCAGCAACGTGTCAAAAGCTTCATTACAAAATTTTAGGCAGGGTATATATAATACAAAAAAAGAAAATAAAAAGAATAACACAAATAAGAACGCAAAATTTTAATTATTTTTAAAAAAGATAAAACAAAACGCATCTGTGGACCTAATGCAAGATCCTTACAGTTAAGGTTAGATTGATTTATGTGAAATTAACTTAATTTTGCTAACATTGGTATTTTAACTGTAGGCGTGTAGGCGTTTGTGGTAAGCAGGGCGTGGCACGCACTAACTTCATTTTTAACTCACTAATTGAAAATGTTTCTTGAAAGAACGCCCCAAATGTTGGGTTGGCGGTTCGTTTAAGCGGCTGACAGATTTGTTGACCCTGCAGTGCAGTGCTGTTGCCGTTCCAGAATTTGCACCAATTACAAAAAATTTACTAATAGATTAAGCAGTGGTAAAATTGTTGGACAGAAATTATTACAGTTGCAGTCAATGTAGTGCAGCGATGCTTTTATGTAGTTAAATTAATTTTTTACAGTTGCAGTTGCATTTTTTTAAATTTATTTTATTTTACTTATTAAAACAGAATAATTATTTATTTTTATATATACGTAAAACCACATGTAGTCCCTCTACTTCCTTGTTTGTTGATATTCATTAATTATTGTTTATTTGTTTATATTAATAACGTGTGCCTGTGAGTACGCCTCGTGCATGTGCTTTTGTGTATGCTTTCAAGTATGTGAGTCCCCGTATTTCTTTAACATTTGCGCGATTACCGCGATTAAAAAAATATTTTTGCTAATCGGAAATCGCTTAAAAAGTCGTCATTTGTTGAATTTAATAGAATATTGCTACCTTGACTAAAAATTCGTGACAAATCGTTATCGACTTGTGCTTAAATTAAAAAACAAATAAAAACTTAAACTGGAATGGACGGTGTTCATTGTTTCCCTTTTCAACTTTCTTTTTAATTTTATTTAAAATTATAATCTTTTCCTTGCAGCTGAACAACAACTCTAGGAGCCCATCATAAGCTGTTCGAATGCATCTTCTACATTAGTCTCATCCAATAAATTTAAGTTTGCTATGTGTGGCATTGTTGCACTACGACTCAGTCCACCGCCTATCATAAAGCTATTAGCTGTGGCAGAACTCAACGATTTACGACTTGCCGAAACCTTTTCACTGGTTTTAGTGCGATTAATAGCAGACTTTCGTATTGTCACTTGCTCTTGCTCTTCACTCGCAACATTACTGGGCGATTTCTTGCCAGTAAAGTAAGCCGCTACTGTTTTTTGTTTTTCACTTATTTCCGCTTTATCCATGCCAGCTTCAAACATTTTTGGCACTGCCAATGAATGTCCCGACCTGGTACGTCGTAACTCATTTCCGCTCGTGTTGAATTTCGGTGAGGTAGGCGATGTAACTTGCTGATTTTGCATTTGCACTATTTGATTCCAGGAATCACTTTTACTTAGTCGATTCGGACGTGTTTGTGGTTGATATTCCATAGCACGCTCTTCTTCACACCGTCTGGACATAGAGCTGAAAGCGCTTACATTGTTAAAAACAATATTACGTGGTATTAAGTCTTCATTTGGCTGTGGTGTTGCTGGTATTTCTACTATCGCTGGTTTATTCGTAAATGTCGAGTGATGCACAACTTCTTTACGTGTTGTGTTCACGACAGTTCCATTGGGTTCGTATTTTTTAGTTTGTGTACTACTTATGCTACTGGTTGTAGTTCCACCGCTTGGACTCTGGTAAGCGTTTGGCATATAATGATGTCTTTGAGGTGGACCGAATTTTTTCAATATTGGCATGTCTTCCTTTGGTAGGGAGGATTTTACAATATCCGGAGTGTCAGCAGGTGCTGAAGACTTGTATTCTTGTTTAATGTCTTTCTGTGTCTCAAAGTAAGCTGACTTCCGCTGTTGCTGCTGCATGTCCAGTACATTTCCTAAACTTTTTCGACGTACTTCGGTGATTTGTTGCTGTTGTATTTGCTGCTGTTGTTTGATGGCTAAGGATTGTTGTGACAGGACACGGTCTTGCGCTTGCAATGGTATTATACCATCAGTGTATGTACTTTGACGTAAAAGTGGGGCTTGGGGCTTAGTTTTCTGTATTTTCACAACACTTTGAGTTTTAGAGGTTGTTTCCGAAATTAATTTTTTTGAGTCAACTGATTTGTGGTTGTATTGTTGAGGTTGATATATTGAAAGTTTAGGCTGTGGTTTGACAGTTGATACTGTTTGTGTGGATTGCTTATATTGTTGTGGCTGCGTTTGTGGCTGAGATTGTTTTCCTGAAAGTGGTTGCACATTTTGACCGCCCAAATGTTGAGATTGAGAAACATGAGGCAATTGCTTTTGAGATTTGCTTTGTCTTTCCTGCTGAGGCTTTTGCTGATTTATTGGCTGTGCTTGAGTGGTGTGTTGCTTTTGAGTTGTTATTTGTTGACTTATTGTCTGAGCTTGAGTTAAGTACTGATCTTGAGACGGCATTTGTCGAGGTATTGACTGTATTTGACTTGAATGTTCATTTTGATTTGATTGTTGTGTTGAGATTGGCTGAGTTTGAGGCAAATAATTGTTTTGAGCTGGCATTTGTTGGGCTATTGGTGGCACTTGAGTTGGATAACTATATTGAGGAGACATTTGTTGAGCTAATGGTTGCATTTGAGGTGAATAATTATTATGTGTCGGGATTTGTTGAGTATATGATTGTGGTTGATGTGAATAATTACTTTCAGTTGGCATTATTGGTTGAACTAAGGGTTGCGCTTGAGGCGAATAAATATTTTGAGTTGACATTTGTTGATTTAATGGTTGTGCTTGAGGAGAATAACTACTTTGAGTTGACATAAGTTGAGGCTGCACTTGAGGTACATATTGATTTTGTTTGAGTATTTGTTGATTAGTTGGTGGAGTTTGTGGAGTTTGAGGAGAATATTGATTTTGATTTTGTGTAGAATATTGTGACGAATATTGAGTTTGTTGGGACATCGAATTTTCCATACCTCTTGGTTGTGGTTTTGTTACTATTTCAGGTTGTGATAATCTCTGCTGCGATAAGTATTCTTGACTAGGCAAGTTCAAAGGTGGTATCTGAGGTTTTGGTGCCACATTAGGTTTTATATCTCTTACATCATTTCTTGGTGAATTTAAAATATTTGTGGAAGGTGGTTGACTATTTTGTGAATAATGTGTATTCATATTTAAATATTCTGTTGGATTAATGTAGTTTTTCTGCATAACACTACTTTCATCTGTGTGTATTGGATTTGATGTCCAATTTATGTTAGATGACGGTGTGCTATAGGTCATAGATGAACTTGTGGTAGAGTTTTCAGATATGTGTCTGTTTCTATGCTGACTTGCAGTATGCTGTTGCTGCTTGGCATAGCTATTATCTTCGAAATCAGAAACATCATCAGTTGGATAGGTTACAATATACCCAGGTTGAGTGTCATTAACGTATGCAGTTTGTATAGTGGACTGGTAACTCTGTTGTTGATTGTTTGTGAAATGCGAGCCACTGTGTAAACTGGAATTATAATCATATTCTTTTTCAGTTTTTGATTTCTTCCTTGAATTTTCCGGTAATTTATTTTGTTGAATTGTTGGTTTTTGAGTATTGTCATACACCGGTATACGTTTTGCTTCAAAGTTTGTTACATCTGGAAATAGTGGTTCCACAACTGGAGCTTGATACGAACGACCATCAGGCGATAAACAAATTTTCGGTGAACTTGGTGGATCTGGTTTTTTAATAGTTTCCTTTTGCACCCTTTTACCGTTATTATTGTTATTACCGATAGATTTCATAGTATGAAGTAAATTACGTGCTGCGCGTGAATTTTTACCAAATACCTCATCATCGCTTACATGCGCTTGACGACTACCTATTGTTACAGCTGTTTGGCTTTGTGGTTTTCGCATTACTCTAGTTTCCGCTCGATATTCCATCATATTATCAGAATCCAAGTCATCATCAGTATAATCTAGTGTTGGCATTGTTAAAATGCTTGGACTTGTATGTGCGCTATCCATAGAACCGACGAAATCTGACTGCTTTTGAGGAATGGTGCTATACGGCTGTAAGTTATCAGTTTGTGGACTATATGAAGGGTTCAAACTGGTAAGTACTAAAGGTACGGCTTCTGGATTAGTAAGGGAATCTTCCCGAGGCCTGGGGTTTTCTAAAGCCATATTTACAGCAGAAGGCAAACAAGGATAACTCTGATAATTACTCTTAGATCTTAAATCCGCATATGTAAATGATATATTAGTTGGTGGAGGCGGCTGTTGATAGTTATTGTTGAATTGATTTGGCACATATTGACTTTGCAGTCCAAGGTAAGGATCCGTTGTATTTGGCAATGATGGACGCTTTCTGTAATCATCCATTGGTTGTTGTTGGGCTTTCGTTGAACGTAATGAATTGTGCCTTTGTAAATAAGTGTTATTGCGGTCATCTTTCAATGATTGTTCCTCAAACTTATTTGCTCTGATTTTGAAAATTGAATTATCAACAGTAGGCTTTGAGACCCAAGGAAGTGCGCCTGGAGATGGAGTAGATGGTGCTGAATTTGCATAAGATACGTTTGAATAGTTTTTGGTGGTAGACAATTGTGGTGAGTTCATTGATTGCGATGGTGGCTGCCATACATTTCCATTGTTTGGCATTTTTGGTATTGGACGTATAACATTTTGTTGATGGAGATCATTATCAATTGGCCGGAACACAGATTGTGGAGCATGTATAAATTTATTTACTGGGGATGGCTTAGGAACTGTCATGCTTGGCATTGCAGCGTGCTGTTCTGCTGCTAAACGCTCTCTTTCTTGACGTTCTCTTTCATAGAACTCTCTCTCAAGACGATCACGATTCTGACGTTCTTTCTCCAGTCTTTGACGTTCAAGACGATCTTTTTCAATACGTTCTCGTTCTTGTTCAATGCGTTCTCGTTCTAAATATTCTCTTTCCGCTCTTCTTTGTCGTTCTATGTATTCTTGTTGATTTTTCTGATTTTGATAGTTCATTTGTGCATTATGCGCCTGATGTCTATCTTGATTTTGGTTCAATTGTTTATTAAAATAGTTTTTAGCTACGTTTTGTGGAACATGACCTGGTGCTTGTGGAGGTTTACCAGTGGTTGCAGTTGCAGCTGCTCCCACTTCGAAAGTATGTTTTATATTACCAAATTTGTTCGTCCAATTGGTAACAGATCGCGAATTATTCCAACCTAAACCAGGTTTAGGGCTTTGCTTATTAATGAACGCTAAGAATTTGTGATCGTTTTCAGTTTTCGGTTCAAATGGTGGCACAACACTACGCACTTTTTGCTTTACATTTACTTGTACTGTGCGTTTCAAACCAAAGCCCGGACCTCTATCTTCCATTTCTGAATCAGTGTCTAGGTCCGCGTTGTATTTCTTGGTTTTTGGGATATCAATCGTATTTGCACGTTTATAAAGTGTTTTTTTACTAGCGAACCGATTTGATTTCTGTGCAGAGTCTGGTGAAACATTGTCACTAGCTCGACTGCTACCATTTTGATTTGTAGTTGGATTTGCTGTATACATTGGATTAATCACAGCATTTGTGTTTAATTGTTGGAAACTTACACTATAATCACCAGATAATGGTCGCCTTACATTTGTTGTATTTTTACGCAAATCTACTGGATTTTTGAATGTACCTAGGCATTCAGTTGAATTTTTTATGTTATTTGGTACAAACTGATTGGGCCGATAAAGTGATAATTGCGGTTGTTGGTTCGATATTGAACCAGTTGAAGAGTTTTTCTCTATTGGGAACCATTGTGGTGGAGTAACAGGTGCTAAATTACTTTCAGGAGTTGTACAATTAGATATATTATCTATAATTAACATGTCTTCCATATAGCGTCGCGCATCTGCCAATTCTTCGCGACTAACACCGACAGTGTGACGACTATTTCGATTACGACGTTTAGCAAAACGTTGTCTATTCGAACGGTGTGCATCTGCTTCAGGTGATGATGTCTCCTCAAAGTTAATATCACCGCCATTTATTTCAGTAGCCGCCAAAGCTGCATCTGCTAATTTGTCCGGTGATGTTAAACCCGTTTGTAAACGCGCCACCAGAGCTAATAAAGCATTACGCTTATTGCTATCTACAGGTATATCCTTGCCTTCTTTAAGTGAGCTCTCGAGGCGGCTAAGAGCTGTAGTTACTTCTTCTATCAGGTCTGTATCGGTCTGCATGTTTAATTTATCTCGAAGACCTGCTGCAATAAGCCGTAAATCCTCACCACTCTCTGTACCGGAATCTTCTATCTGAGGTACACCTAATCTATTCACTTGATTTGTATTAGAACTAGTAGTACTAACTAAATCGTTACTAATGCTAGAATTACTAACTACAGTCGGTGTTGTTGGTTCGTTTGTCGTTTGTTGCGGTTTTGAGTTTTGTTGTTGGTGCTGAATTTGATTCTGATCAATTGAAATCTTGTTTGTATTGGTGTGGGTTTTGGTATTGGTGTGGGTGTTATTACTATTACTCACAGTTAACATACTACTATCATTACTATAACTAATTACTTTATTAGCACAAGTTTTATTCGCACTTAATTTATTTATACTTTGTTGAGTATTTATATTTTTATTTAAATTTTTATTTAAAACTGAATTGTTGCTGTTCTGTGTAGCAGCTTTGCTTAGCAGCATATTTTGTTGCAAACTATCTTCTTGCAACATAAGGTGGGACTCACCCTGCTCGGTTTTCTGTGTATCGGCACAGATTGCAATGTCTTCACTATCAGCAGTTTTTGTAGTTAAATTTTCTACTGCACTAGTTACTTTCTCAATGACTATATTTTTAACGTTTTCTTTAGATTTTTCTATATTCTTATCAACGACTTCTTCAATTTCTTCCACACTTACAAAGGAAGTTGTAGATATATCTGTCTTTAAACTATCGTTCGATTTTGTGCTTGAACTTTTTTTTAACACTGCTTTTTCGCTATCTTCTTTAACTATAGTTGCTTTTGTTATTTCTTCATCATTTTCTTTTTTTATAGACGTGTTTTTTTTTAATTCTGTTTCATCTTCTGATTCACTATAGTCAGTTACTTCTTCAATAATTTCTTCATATTCACTGGCACTACTTTCATCGTCTTCAGTATTGGCTGCGGGCGTAGCTTTTTCGCTAGCTTTCAAATTTTTGTTTTCTAAAGAATTTTTATTTTATAAATTTCAAAATAAAAATAAAATGAATATTTCTTAAAATTTGTAAGTATTTGAACAAATTTATAACAATAAAAATAGTATAAAGAATAACATATTATTTAACAATGTTCTTGACGAAACAGCAGAACGAACAACATGACAGTGGTGATTGGAATATGAAATTAACATATTTTTATGGTATATATATATATAAACCATATATTGTATTATAATAATAGATTGTATATAATAATAGGGCAATGTATGATCGATCTTTCGCACAAGATGACTGATGAAAGCAATGACTTAACTTATGAAGTAGGGAGCATATTGTATGTATACAGAACAATATATCATACCAATAAACGTAGTAAACAAAATAAACAAGATCTATAATATCATTTTTTTATTTTATTTATATATATACCTAAAAATTATTTTATATGGTTCTTGCAGTACCTCATAAAAGTACCTCTCTGCCCCTAGCTAATATGTATCTAAAAATACAATAGATAAAATTATTATGTATATCATCGATACGCGAAAAGCTGACTTATCTAGCATAAATGTAGTAAAATTAAAAAGGAGTTAAAAGCATTTTTTGTATTAAAATTATTTAATTGTAATCAAAAGCTAAATTTTCAATGTAAAATAAAAATATAAATAATGAATATTATTATAGCATTTTTTATAAATTATTAATTAAAGATAAATAAATTAATTGACACTTCTTCAAATTTTTTTTTATTCAATATATATAATTGTAATAATTGAATATAATTGTAATCTCTATTAAACATAGAAAATTCAGCTTTATATATTGTACATCCTAACCATTTGACTAATAAATTTTTTTTAAATTAACCACCACCGAAATATATATTAGATGAAAAATCTATAAATTAATTTAATATATAAAACTTTATTTGAAATTATTTTTGCTTATACGTTATATTAATAAAATTAAAATGTAAAATACCTTCACGTTCCGCCATAAGTTCCCTAAGACGTGCACGTATTTTTCTACGTTCTTCGTAATTTGTGGCCTGTTCAAGCTAAATAACAACAAAAAATATATATTATAGATTTAATAATTTAAAAAAAAAGATTATTTATAATAAATAAAAATTTTTACCAATTCCTTTAATAATTCTTCGTCCCAGATCTCCTCTATAGCACAAGTTTTATAGGTAACTGGTGAAGAAGAGCTTCCTGATTTTATTGTTTTCGTTACACGTGTGGTTTTAATCTGAAAAATCAAATTAAGATACGATATATACAATGTATTTAAAATGTAATGCATTTTCTCATCATATAAGTAAATTAAAACAACAAAATTGAAAATGTGGAACATTAAAATAAATTAAAATTGCCAGATGTCCAAATGCCGACTAATTAAAGTCGATGAACGCATTAAAATTAAATTATATTACACACTTTTAAAAAATATTACTTTGTTTATTATAAAAATTATACATATGTAATTTACTTTACTTTAAGAAAATAAATAATTTTAATTTTAAAATGTACATTAATTGTAGAATTTAAACAATGGGGATTCTGTAGAGAAATGCAATTACGTATAAAATTAAAATGATACTATTTGACCTGTGTTTAAATATATAAGATCATAATCAATAATTGATTAAAATAAATAATAACAAAATATGATATACAGATATTTAAATAATCAATGAATTTTTGTTAATTTTAGTCTAGTCATTAGTCTAATTTTAGCATCGTTTTTTAGCCATATCCTCATAATTAACTAATTGTTTTATTAGTTATTAGATCCAATCTATTAATTTTAGAAGTTTCTCAACTTCATTAATGGTTATTCCTCTGGCTCTCCAATATTACTGAAGAGTAGTTTACGTGAGGAAAGAAAATGTGAAATAATTTCCTTTTTCCTTGTTTGGTTGTAGCTGTGACAGCAAAATTTGTGAGGGTACCAATATTTGCCACATACACATTCTAACTAATAGAAGTCAATAATGACTATTTTAGAACTCTAGAGTCTAGAGAAGGGATTCTCTTCTCATTCAGTTTATCAGCCAATCTGTTCCTAAGATTATTCTTCTATAATCAGTATTTGTACATATATAATTTAATAAGTTTTTAGACATTATGCGGTAGCGAATACTATATCTGCAAGAGCTTCCTATAGGATAGATGCTGTCCCAATCATTTCAGTCGTTTCCTTTTCTATTTCTATATCTAACCCATATCAGAGAAACAATGTCACATGCACTTAACGTAGTTAGGCTAATTTCGTTTTTTTTTTCACTTATAGTGGTTGTAGGTTGCAGCGACCAAATTCAAAAACTGAATTATTACGTCTTAGTGTAGTTAACACTATCAATGTTAATATTTAATAGAAATATTACAGTTTTAATATTAATTTTATACACCAGTTTAAGTCTTGTTTATTAAATTGAGAAGTGTACACTTTTACTTATTATAAAACTGAACAGTCTTAGTTTTTGTAAATATGTAATTCTATTTCAACCGAAATTTTTGAATATATTTATTGTTAATTGTAAATTCTGCAGATAATTATTTGTAAAGCTTTATTTTTTTTAAACACTTTTAAATTTAGAAATGTTTATATGCGGATATTTGCATATCGAACACTATATACGGACAATCAAGCGAATACAAATGTTTCCAAAAAACACTAATAATAAATATTTGGCGGTATCCAAGACAGCTGTATGGTTTATCCAAAAATTCAGTTATATTAAAAAAAATATATGACATTTGTGAATTTAAAAATTTCCTTACTTTCAACCTATTTTTTATTTTAAATATAAAAAATTATTATAATTTTAAAAACATTGTTTTTAATACGTTTTGTTAAATATTTAAAAGAATTTTATTTATTTTAAAAATTTAAAAATTTTTAAGATTTATTAAAATAATCTTTTAACTTTTTTAAAATTTATTTTGTTTGTAACGCAATGTTATTTATTTTTAAAAATAATTTAAAATTTTTTTACTATAACAAAATTTAAAGAGTTTTCTGAAAATTTTGCCTTTTTTGGTAGCACCACAAGATAAATGATTTTTTCAAAAAAATTTCAAAACAAACCGAGAAAAACACGCGTATCTATTTTTGGGCGTAAATCATTTTCCCACACTACCAAAATATATACAAATAAATTCACAGATATAAGAATAAGAAAAAAAAACTAACATGAAAATTCTCTTAAATTTTGCATTCAATTCGATACATAAATTTTTTAAATATTTTCTATATACAAAAACGAAAATACTCGTACGAGTACACAAACGTATTTCTTGGTTAAATAAATGAGATTTTATCTAAAATTTTTTGCTTTTCAAAATAAACAAAGAACTTTTTTAATCCCTCATTCATTTTTAATTTTTAATACTCGCCTTTGTTTATTATTAATATTTTCATTATATACGTATGAGATTATTTTATCAAATTGATTAATTTGTCTAAAGCCTAAAATGTAAAACGTTTTATAAATTTATTTTTGGGCTGTATGACGTTATAAGGAAATTACACACGACTGCCAAGTTTTTTCTATATAATTTTAGAAAATTCTATACAATTTTCAATGAACTTTTATATCCGATTTGTGGTTAATGATTTTGATTTTAAGATAGAAATTTAATGTTTTATATCGGAAACTTAATTTTATTGTAAATAGAATATTCGAATAATTACATTATATATTAGTAGTATATGTCATGAGTACATATATTAAAAAATATATATATACTCATATATATATTCCCGATATACATATATATATTTATAAATATAATATATTTATTATAATATATATAAATATGTCATGAATAAATTCACTGAATGTTAAATAAAAGAACTACATATTTAACATCAAATTTCCGGATAGAAATTTTGCAAACCAATTTTGTTATTGTCGTTCTAGTGATATCTTTTCCATACATAATTATTTATTATTTATTTTTATTTTATTTATATATTTATTTAGTGCCTTAAATACATGTTTTTTATTGCACCATCTTGAAAACTGACTTAAAAGCTAACAATATATTCTTTCAAGTTTAATTTATTTAAAAAGTTTATAAGTGAAGAATATATCAAAATTACAAAAATTAGAATATTGAATAATTTTTTTCTTATTTGAACAGAATTTTACCTTTCGATAGTAAAAAGATAAAATATGATAAAAATGCTTTTATTACTTTTCATAGGTACCAACCAAAAACTACTGGTACAATCAATCGGTTTTTTACACAAGCAAGCCTTACGACTTAAATATAAGTTCGCTGTGAAATAATCAAACCCTCTGTTGAAAATAAATGAAATTGTATTAAGCAGAATCCAACATAATACTTATATTACATATAAGTCATATATATATAAGCTTTATCAAGATATTAATGTAGTTCAATTATTTCGCAACGAACGACTTCGCTGTCTTAAAGATATCGCTAGGGCATAAGCTCATGCTCCAGCGAAAATGTTTTAAGCGGTAACATAATTGAAAGAAGTAGGCATAAAGGAAGGTAGAGTGCTCAAAATGAGAGAGCAGTAATTTCACTTGATATATAAGATAATAATATATACATACGGAGGTCTAACACCTAGTAGAGACAGCTGGAAAAGAGTGAGGCCGAACCCGGGAACGGTTTGTTGGAGCCAATTTTTATCTAAAAACTAATTTTAAATATATAATAACGATTTATATTCTATGAATTTTTAATTAATTAGTATCAGATAATTATTTTTATTTTTTTATATTATTTTATTACTTTTATTTTATGTTTTAAAGACTAATGTCACAAAAATTGTTATGAATATAATTTACTTGTTAAATAATTTATATGTCTAATACTTAATTTACTTATTCTTAATTCAAAAAATATATTTTTTCAAATTTTTAATTTAGAATAATAAATTTTTATTTGAAAATCATTGATTTTGAAGGCGAACACAAAATGAATAATTAAATATATATTTTTTTTTCATGACTAATTATGTCAGTTTTAAGTATTTACAAAGGAACGTCAAGATTTACGCTTTCAATAATAGTGGTTAGTATTCATAAAAGAATGTATTACCTATGTGGTATTTACTCATAAGAATCTATACTTATTTTCTTAAAAGAGCACATATATGATGGTAAAATGAAATCGTATGAGATAGGATTAAACATATATAGTGATATCTAAGCTGATCCAAAACTCAAAAACTTATTAGCTTAGTTCATATCGAAATGATTAAGATGGATGTCATCTCTGTTGCGAACAGATACTGATTAACGGACAAGCTTGCACAAACTTTGTATAAGATCGTTGACTAGACTTTGGACGCCCTTGTAAGAAAAGGAAAAAATTATATCAAATATTCTCTTATATTCAGTCACCCGAAATAAAGATTGCAAAGAACTATGTGCTCTCATAAGCACATGGAAGAACTATAAAGAAGTAATATTGTAAAATTCATACAATTTTTAATTAAAATGAATTGGTTTAAGTACGGTTAACTTATGACTCAAAAATGAACGTATTATAGCAATTCTCATTATTTAAAATCATAAATCACTAGGAGAGGAAGCATCTAATAACAAGAGCCGTAAAAAAACACCGGACCCATATGCTCATCTGAAGGAAACTGTCGCTTATATTATTGATAACTTTTCAATGTTTTCTTAAAGGCCTGTATGGTATGGCTCCTGATAGAATCCTGATCCTGATTCAAAATAATTGCTTTTTAATACATAAGTATTTCTTTAATAGTATAATATCAAAGTTTGTTAATGTTTATAGTGGAGTGTTTGTCATATAAAAAAAGTTGTTTTACTTTGTATTTATAAAATCATAAATGAAATAGAAAACATAAGGATCCTTTTTTAATATCTAGTTTTAGTTACATACATTTTTAAAATCGAGCGACTTTTGAAGAACTTTTCTTAAAAAATAAGTTTTTCATTTATATTATAAGAAACTCTCAAAAAGTTTACCACAATTAAAACCCTTCATTCTAAGTCAGTCACTGAATTAAAGATAACTAACCATATATTGAAACTGTTAAGACATTTATATTGTTGAACCAATATCGATTATTGCTTATAGATTACAAAATCTTAAAACAGAGAGTAAAAACATACAATAGATATATTTAACTTTATTATATATTAGTTTTTCTACAATTTATTTATTAATTTAAATACATTTATTAAACTTATTTAATTTGTTATGTACAAAATATCAACGAATAAAAAATTC